TAACCCTAACCCTAACCCTAACCCTAACCCTAACCCTAACCCTAACCCTACCTAACCCTAACCCTAACCCTAACCCTAACCCTAACCCTAACCCTAACCCTAACCCTAACCCTAACCCTAACCCTAACCCTAACCCTAACCCTAACCCTAACCCTAACCCTAACCCTAACCCTAACCCTAACCCTAACCCTAAAGCCCTAAGCCCTTCTTTGAATGATGCCAGTCGGAGAGAGTGGCACTTTCATCCCATTCCCTTCTTCGGTTGTCGTTGGGACTGCAAGGCGAGGATGCACTTGGAGTACAGTTGCGTTGTTGCTGTGCATCCGCTACTGCACCTGTTTGTGGGGTGAGGTGCCTCAGTGCACGGGAGGGCGCACAAAGGTTGGCAAGCAGGAGGCGAGGGTACGCCGGCGGTCGTCGAGAATCTGGTTTGTTGTCACGAACATGGAATTGAGGCACCTCGTCGTTTCAAGTATGGAGAGAATGCGGGCGTTGTCCTTTGGAGCCATAGTTATGTTGTTTACAGACTTCCGCTTTTGGGCTAAAAGTGACGCAGGTTCAGTTGACGATGTTTCGGCCGCCGAATTTGCACTGCATTCTTAACCCTCACGAGGGAGAGGCGGCGTCGGGATGAAATTCGGTGCGTGGCAGGGATGTCATACGCTATCAAAGACAAAGGCAACAACAGAAAAAATGTCAATTAACCGGTTAGAAGGGTATACGACGATTGTCGAAATGCAGACTTACAGCAATATTTACTGGAATGTCTTTGCTGCAAGACATGAATGATCATCGTCTCCTTGGAGGATTATGTTTCTCTGAAAAGCAATTTAGGATTGATTGTCAAGATGAAGCCGTGAAGATCAACCACTCCGATGAACTTTGATCTTCCAGTGGGATAACTAGCGCGTGTGAACCACTAACTCCATGAGCCCAGTGGTCAACCGACTAACAAAAGCGGAAACAATACTATACATCACCGTTTCAAGAACGTTGAAACCGCAATTGATGGGGAAAGCTGTAATTTGTCGGAAGAAAAGTACAGTGAGTAACGAAATTGGCTTCCGCTCATATGGGCGAAATTTATTATATCAAGAGCCATTTTTGGATCCTTTTCGAAAATGAGAGCTTAATTCTAGCGCTTGCCCAAATAAGTATTACTTGGTTGACATGAATTTGTCAAATTCTTTTCCTGGAAACGTCTTGCAAATAAACATTCATATTCCTTATGTATGGAACAGGCCCTTCAGATCGATAGTGTTCATTCTAGGACTTCACCCAGTTCCCAGACCTACTCTGTCCACATTATGGACACATACGGATCGTTACCCGAACAAGTTAGAACATTGGATTTATCAATTGTACAATACTCGATCCAGAAACGGCTCTCGCGAGAAACAAATTCTTGCTCTTAATGCGGAAGCCAATTTCGTTACAGACTGTATTTCAAATTACAGAGAGACCCTGATTACTGTACTATGAACGCGACTTATATGGTCGACGAGCGAGATCAGTCCCCATTTACGAAAGCTGGAACTATCCAAATTCTGCCTTGCGAGGAGTGTGTGGTACTGTAATTCCGGCACTGCCTACAGTACCCACCGAAATGACAGTGGCCCAGGAATAGGCGGCAAAAGGCAACTTTGGGCTGTTATTCTCTTTTGGGAAAGGGTGCACCCAATCAATGGCATGGGATCCTTTTTAGGTATACTATACAGTAGTACTCGTAAGAAACACGTCCAAATTCGGCATACTGTATGCAGCCCGAATCTCAGATCGCTTTCTGCTCCACCTGAGTGACTAAAGCTGCAGATGAACGATATTCTGTACACCCTCGAAATGGATCCAGCGGGACAAGAGCAAAGGTATATTTGCGGTCCAGTATTGTTTCTCATAGCAAGCATTTTACTGTGCATCTTCCGAGCACTGTAGCAGGGCATTTTTCGGCGCTAACTGATTTCCAAAATTGAGTTGGATCGATATCCATTTGTGATTGTTGGAATGGTCCAATTTCTGCTGTGCCAGGAGTGGTAAATCTTGGCGCGATATGAAAAGATGACGCGAACCTGGAACAAGCAACGCCAAAATTGGACTAGTAATTAGAGACCACATTGGCCTATTTTGGGAAACAGACCACCCACTCCATTGGTTTGGCCTCCTTTCCAGTTACAGAAGTCTACAACCAAGCATGTCCACATTCGGCCGGCCCCACGTGTACGCAGCCCAAATTAGCAGCATCGGAAAAGGGAGTCGCTTTCCCGTCCGCTTTTGGAAGATTCGATATCGTCCTATGTTGAGCACGTTTTACCTTTCTGTGCTAGAGCATCAAGTGAATGAACGGTACAGTCGGTAACGAAAATGGCTTCCGCTCATATGACGTAAATTCTTCGTAGCCAGCACCACGGACAGGTTGCAGAGGCCGTCTTCGCTGGCCGGTACACAGGGATGGACATCTGCGACCCCCGCAGAAACCTAAGGAGATAGGACGTCTGCGGGAAAAGAGCAATCCATCACCTGTAGGCTCGAAGCACTTGCAGAGGCATCATCTCTAGGCTCGAGGCACTTGCAGACGGCATCAGCTGTAGGCTCGAGGCACTTCCCGGTGGCATCGTTTGTAATAGAAGAAGGCGTCAATCTGGGGCGGGGCAATCCGTCCCCAGTGGGAAGCTGCTGCCAGCCACTGATATTATGGGGTAGGTGCTCTATGTTCTTGGATCTCAGTTTATGGCTATCTGCCAAGACATCTACCCCGCTTTAGACGAACCCACAAAAGCCCTCGCCAACCCCATGATGCGCTGAATCAAAGATCAAGTTATCATTCACGCTTCCTGACGAGAAGAAATACAGATTAGGCGTATCATTTAGGAAACAGCGAACATCTTAACTATACTCATGGTACAGTATATGATCCTGGGAGATGCAAAAGGCTGCACTTACAGATTCCGAATATAGGCTGTACGTAAATAATTAGTGAAGCATTAGTGTAGGTTGTATGATTGGGCTAACAGATACATATTTGCTGGGAATAGTCAGTAAGTGACTGTCATAACCTGTCCCGCTCGTGTGACATGGGCTGACAGAAGCGTGTTTGATGGGAATAGTCAGTAAGCGACTGCCATGACCTGTCCCGCTTGTGTGACTTGGCTGACAGAAGCGTGTTTGCCGAGAATAGAAAGTAAGTGACAGCCATGACAATGACTTGGGCTGACAGAAGCATGTTTGCCGAGAATAGAAAGTAAGTGACAGCCATGACCTGTCCCGCTCGTGTGGCCTGGGCTGACAGAAGCGTGTTTGATGGAAATAGCCAGTAAATGACTGCCATGACCTGTCCCGCTCGTGTGACCTGGGCTGACGGATGCGTGTTCAACGGGAATAGCCAGTAAGTGACTGCCATGACATCTTCCGCTTGTATGACTTGGGCTGACAGAAGCGTGTTTGCCGAGAATAGAAAGTACGTGACAGCCATGACCTGTCCCGCTCGTGTGACCTGGGCTGACGGATGCGTGTTTCGCGTTAGTGATAAACCCTGCTAAGCTCTCCTCCAATTTGTGTCGCTTCTGTGACCTGAAGTGATGGAGGACTCGATTGTTCCTATGGCGGACCTAGATACCTGTCGCATGTTGGCATAATTGAAGTAGCTCAATTATTGTTACGCTGCCTGCCAGCCAACTCCCTGACCTCGGTCTCGGTTTTCCCACTGGGTTTTCCCGAGATCTTCATGCGAATGCAGAGGTCCACGTTCCTTAGACAGAGAAACAATAACATCCTACCGAACTTGAAGTGGTCAGCCTACTGTAAACTTCCGTCGACGTAATAAAGAGTTATCAAGAGCAAATGAATGTTGAACTGTGAGACAGCATACATGCACAAAAGCGTCCACCAGCACCTATGGACATTTCCAATTCCGCGACGAACACTCGCTAAAATTGTCCACTTCTGTATACCACGATCCATGATATATAGTTCGGGTCGCTGGTGGCACCAATTGCACACGTTCTCCTCGTGAATACGGCATGCTGTTGTTCGATAGGCCATGTTGGTATGCCAAAAACGTGTCTATGATGTTCCAATGTAGTGTTCTGCTTCTTCGCAACTAGAACCATATTTTTGACCGAAACTGATTCTTAATTTGCTGGTATTGGATTTTATTCAGTTTTGTTTCCTGACTCCGAGAATTGTAGTACTACAAATTGAACGTAGACCGCACAATTATCTGCTCGATGCACCACTCCGACAGGACTTTCTCCTATATCTTCATCTCACACGATCCTGGTGGCCTGCTCAACAATCAAATTGCCAGCATTACATTGTTCTCTTTGAACCTCAACATGCAATCCCAAACCACTGCCCAGGCTCGCATTGCATCACAAAACCATCAGCGAGTCCAGAGAAAATTGAATACTCGTGCTGCTGGACCAGGTCAAAACCTCAATCCGCCGAGAAATACGAGAAGAGCCGTGCCAGAGCTTCCAAGGTTCGCCAGAGACCCGAAACTGCCGCAAGTGGGACAACCCCAAGTGCCGTTGCCGCAGTATGTTGTGTTCTACTCTCGATTTGAGTCCGCTTGCAATGCTAACTAGTTCCGAACCATCTGGATTCGCACCTCTTTGCTCTCCTTCACCGATATCTCCCCTAAATCTGCTTACAGCCCTCCCCAATCAACATGGATGCCGCAGCTTTATGCGAACACCCTGTCATCTACTCCATACCCAACGTCATCTACATACAGTACACCCTTACAACCATCACCTCAGCCTCAGTCGCAGGATTCATGGCCTTTGACATCATTTCGCTTTAGCAAGCATATGTTTCCCGTACCTGGTATGGTCGGGAACAATATGTATGTCCATGAGCCGACATTTCAAGTCCCAAACAAATATGTTCAAACAGACTTTCTACAACACAGCACACTGCAATAACCCACACTTCAACCCGAGGAATATAAATCGGACCAAGATGACGAAATACCCATGGGCGGAAACGGCAGTCGGAAACGGAATTTATAACCTGCCGGGCTGGACATCGGTCTATCAGGGATCAGACACCTGTAGGCTCTAAGCTTCTTACCAGGTCCAGTTTACATGCCACTTTTAGAGGAAGGGTAGGTAATGGACAATATCCTTTTCAATTCAGGCAGATTGAACTCTACTTTCTTCCCCTTTTTTTTGTGGGCAGACGCGATGCTGGAGGCCGGGACCAGTACACGCTTGAGACAGGCAGTTGGCGACCAGAGGTGTTCATTGCGGGATGCACTTGGTTGCCAGGCGGGATGGTATTCCAGTTGGAACAGTTGTGGGTTGGGGCATACGCAGTCAGGATACTGCGGGCATGGAAATGCTATCGAGTATAGTCACGCTGGGGGTGACTTGGACTGCTCTCCCTTTTTAGTTGTCGAAGACGCGCAGGGATTTCATTGGAACACAGAGGGCCAGGACGGGACCGGAGTGTAATATGCACGTGCGGCATCGCTCGTGGAGATGCAAAGCAGAGGATAGCCTTTTCTGAGGCTCTATAGTCAGGTCGAGGGTTGACTAGTCTGATACTGGTTCTACTCTTGGCAATAGATGCCCTTCGTGAGGGTTAAAATTGCAGTGCAAGTTGAGAATGGAGGCCCGGGCGGCGGCGACAGTTCTTCTACTCCGTGCAGGCTAGCGGGAACCTTGACGTGACGGGGGGAACAGTCCAACCATTTGTTGGTAGCAACCCCAGGCAGCGGAGAGTCTGGTATACTGTCCAGACGACGAGAGTCACTGTCAGGAGAGCAGTGGAACTGATTTGGTCTCTATTGGAGTTCCTCTGAGGGAGTTGCTGTGATAATCCATGATGGCCTGTTGGTAGATGGGCAAGAGATTGTGAGCGTCAGCAGCAGAGATGGTGATCCTATTGGACTCTATTACGCCCGGCTTTGCGGGTTGATACAACGTCTTTTCACTGCGATTTTAACATCAACGAGGGCACTGGAAGTGGATATTACACTTGGGAATGTTGGCAAGTAGGAAGGCTGGCAGACTTAATCCTCACTATTGGCAGAAACTAACTGGAAGTATTTTTAACAGGCTTATAAGAATTAAGTTAATTTGAAGTTGATAACGAAGTGACGCATTATTTGATAGTTGATGAAATAGTCCAGATAGTCGTGTAAAGCTGATGTATAAACACTTGCACCCATGTGTAGATATTGACAATTGAATACTGTAGCCCAGCATTCTACACTAATGATTCCCCCGGAGGGAGAGGCAAGACTACGATGACTCCCTACAGGCGAAGCCTGTGCCGAGCGAAGCGAAGGTGTACTGTTGCAGACAAACAGTGACAATAGAACCTGTAAACACATATTGAAAACTGCACTCATGAACAACCATTGTCAATCAAGTGCACCAACAAACAATTCTCACCCCAGTGCACCACAAGCATTGACAATGAACCCAAGGCACACCCCAAGGACTGGTTGCACCAGTCAAGGAAGTCTGAGCGAGAGCGAAGTCTACACTGTTTAGAAGACAGTGCCAGTCACTGTACTGGGGGATGGCTCAATTGTGCAGATTTCTTGAATCTGCCATACAACGAAAATCCTTTGAAAGGGCAGGAACAGAGGTTTTTGGTTCATTTTTGGCTGGGACAGACAAAAGCCTGTTAGTGTTCTCTTAGGGCGCCCAGCGGGATTGTTTGTACACTAAAAGCGGAGCGAGCCCACGGAGCCCCAGGATTGGGCCAGCTCCCTTGGTAGCCTGGAGGCTAGCAAACAGCACTTTACACACCGGCCCGCGGCCCACCCTTAAGTAGAGGGTGCATTCCATTCCACTGCATGACGGTGCCTGTCACTTCGCTCCATTGCATTCCTGCCATCAACACTGGGGACAGTGTTCGCTACCTCAGCGGCAAGCCGCATCGCTGACGCTTCCCTTTTGCACTTCATCTCGATTGAAGGCGGCGCGGAGGCTGCCCCCTACTGACAGACACTAAGTGTGCTTGTTGATCCCGGAGGAGAGAGCAGTTGGTCTCGACGTCACCGTTTGACGACGGAAAAGGACTGCCTTTTCTTTCAGAGTCTGTGTAGTGCACAGTGATCATGGAGGAGCTTTTGTGGTGGTCCATGCGCGGCGACCCTACCGTGGCCCAGCAGAGTGCGGCTGCATATTTGTACGACCAGGGGTCTTGTGTATTGACGAAGATGGTGGCGACTGGCATGGGGTTGTTGGCGAAGAATGGCAATTCTCTCGACCCTAGGGGCACGGGATACGTGCTGACGATGTTCTACGTGGACGACGAGGCGGCGGCAGAGTCCATGAAGACGATTGTGCAGAGCATGGAAGGCGCGAAGGGGGCACTGCGGTACTGGCACAGGGTTGATCTCTGTCCGTTCTTTTCGAACAAAGCCGGGTCGGTCCTTGTCGTGTTCGGCTGTTCTTATGGACGTCTCTTGCCTCTGTGCGAGCATATTGTCAACAGTGACGGGAAGTCACTTATTCGGAATGGCCAGGCTACGATGCGGTTTGGCATGCAGGAGCAGGTGTGGAAGGATTGTATGGAGAGACTGGGAGGCTCATGGGAAGACTTATGAGACCTTGCTGGTCGTCTGTGGTGTCTGGCTTCTTGCAGTTCTTGTCTCTGTTTTAACCTGTATCTGTGCGCCGGAGGTGGGAGGACAGTTGACGATGGAGTGAATGGCATTGTGCCATGATCCCCTTTTGACCCAGTTGCTGTGACAATAGAGCGTAGTGCATTGTACAACAACTAGAAACCAAATGAAATAGGCAGAATGGAATTGAACTGAAGTGGACCCGTGAACAAGCATTGTAGACTGCATGCACCCAACAAACAATCAACTTAAACCCCAGATACTGTCACCACCAACCAACATCGTCAATAGACACTGTAGCCCAGTACTCCAACTACAACCTAACCGCCGGAGGCTCAGGCAAGACTACGATGACTCCCTACAGGCGAAGCCTGTGCCGAGCGAAGCGAAGGTGAACATGTGGAAGAGAAACAAGAAGAATCCAGTTAATGAACAACAATTGTCAAGTGCACGCCAGACAAAACACTCACAATCTAACGGTTAAGGGCGTGCACAAACAATCTGGACTACAGGGCACAACAAACAGTCCAACAAGTCCGAAGTGGAACGAAGGCTAGAACCGAGTGGCAGTAACACAGTAGGGATACCGTGCATCACAGTGTATTCGCTGTGTTAGGGACGGCTCAATTGTGCAGAATTCCTGTATTTCACATACAACCGAAACCCTTTGAAAGGGCAGGAACAGGGGTTTTTTGGTTCATTTTTGGCTGGAACAGACAATTTGCTGTTAGTGTTCTCTTCGTGTCGCCAGCGGCGGCACTAGCAGAGCATTCCTATAATTTACTATAAGAGAACACCCAACCCCGCCCCCCTTACTATGGGAGCCCTTTGCTTGCCAGAGGGCCCCTGAACAGGGTGAAGACTGTGGGCATTCAGTGCCCGGTTCTCACACTAAGAGCGCAGCGAGGCAGACAACCAATGGAGCTGCCAGTTGTGGGCCGACCCGGGCAGGGGAGGCGGCATGGACGAGTGGGAGCAAGGGGGGTGGGGCGCACCAGCAAACGGCACTTTACACGCCCGGGGCGGACTACAGATAGCTGGGTGTCTGCGCCGACTGGACTACTTTGGATGCGCATTCAATGTGCTCTTCTCTTGCTCCCAGAGCCGCCCTCGAACGATCCTGTTGGGACAGAGGCTGCTGGTGTACAGTCACAGGGCGTGGGGCAAGTGCCTTTCGTTTTCTTCTATGTGTTGCCCGTGAGGGCCCCGAGAGCAGGTGAGAGCCGGGCATGCTGGCTGGCAGGTAGCACAAAGCAGGGCGTCGTGGCAAGAGCGAAGTGGCTCGTAAGTGTGAGTGCTACGCTTCAGCCTGGCGGAAGGGGGCGGTGGTGCAGAGCCTCGATCTCGGTGAGTTGTGCGATGGAGTATAAGAGACGGGCGTGTGAAATGCTCATCCAGGATCAGTGCGCCTGACACCGCATTTGCACCTATCGCGACTGCTGAAGACGATCTTCCGGAGCATTCTGATACTCACGAAAGCGCGCCCGAGTCACGGCAGAGGGCGCACCTTCCTGAGTTCGCATTGCTTTGCTCTCTCCGTATCCCGTTAGCTAGTGAGCTACTTAGAAGTACTGGCCAGAAATGAAACAAGGGACGTTGCGTGTTGGACGGCCTTCACGTATAAGCTGCCACAAGCTAGCAATAAGAAGGCCCATCGTAACAGTTGAGGTTAAAGACTACATCTTGGTAAGGTTCATGTTTATTCCCGCAGAAGTTGAGATTGAGCCTAGTAGGTAAGCATCAAGGGGCGCGAAGGTAGAACCCTTGCAGTTGGCCAGCCTAGTTTCTAATCATTTGCACGCGTCGTCTAGGCCATTCACTGAACGCGTTTCGTGTTTTCACGCCAAGGAGCAACTCTACGCCAATTCTTCGCCGCCGTGGGCTGTGGCTTAGCCACACGGTGAGATAATCATATGAAATCCAGAAGACGTCATCGTAAATTGAATTTTGATCACGTGATGCAGTGCCTAAGCGAGATCATCTGTTTCAGAAGTTCGCCGGCTTGAAATCCTGAATCTATATACGCAATCCACCGCTACTGTGATTTACAGTAATGCTAGAAAGTCATTCATCACTGGAACAGCCACCGTCTTCATGCGTTGCACGCCGACAGTTCCTAAACAGGGCTCGTTGCTTGGTCTGGTTCTCGAGTGCACAGAACTTTACGTGACTCCAGCCCAATGGACCGACCTCCATGTGCAACGGCTCAACTGTCATTTCGTCGAGCGGCTTTCTGACGATACCCTAAGCCGACCGCTATCACCGCTCGCCCAACCCCCGAAAACCAACAATACTATGGAGCTGGAGGAAAACGTGAAGATTCTACTATCTTCCAAAAAGAAATACAACGCCTTCGTCGAGAACGAAGCTCTGAACAATATCTTCTCAACACTTTTTCCAACGTCCACTTGCAGAGACAACACGGAACTGAGTTTGAGGTTTGGACGGCGGATCTATCCAGGCGCTACAGGTACCGAACTTTCATGGCAGCTTTATGGTGCTGGCCATTGCACCCCAGAAATCGATGCTGGCCATTGCACCCCAGAAATCGATGCTGGCTATTGCACCCCAGAAATCGATGCTGGCCATTGCACCCCAGAAATCGATGCCTCGACCATGGCCTATATAAGCAACAAGAAGTTGAAACACAAAAGACGTTACTCCTACAAAATAGTTCGCAAGAACACTAACATTCCTGTGGATCGACTATGTAAACTACGCTCGAAGAAGTTGGCCCCAGGTAATTCTGGTGAAGATCCCTACTTGGTTGCCACAATCGTGTCGCTAGCCCAGAGTCGGGTGTATGCTGAAAACTTGTCGTCAAATGTTTTCACACCTCGCGACGTGGTTGTTCAATTGATAACCTTCGCGGTAAACAGAAGAGCGTTCGTCGTATATAGAGCTACGGTAACATCAGCTTTTCTGAAGATGTTTGATCAACCACACGAAGCGCCTATGTCCCGCCCAGAGCTCACAATCGAATATAGATTCATCCCAGTATGGCCAGTGCTTCGGCTGCAAGATAGGTTCAAGGAAGTACTCGGAGACATGGGAATTGGTGTCGATTTGCCCGCTAGTGCAGCTTCTGGCAAGCAAAGGGACTGTGAAACGGTCACCGGAAGTAAACGTGGTTGGGATTATTCGATCGCAGTTGAAAGCAACACTAAATCAGTGAAGAGAATAAAATATTCCAAATCAACATAAATCTCGGCGGTTCACCCTGGTCAGCGCCGACAGACCAGTCCGAATCGAATAGCATACTTGATATTTGGGGGACTGGAAACTTGGGATTTCTGAACGCAGTGGTCACCAAGAATCGAAACCATTTTCGTGACTTTTCATAACGTCGCAAAGTAACGACCCGCAGGAGAATGTGAAGGAAGTCCGCTAACGAGGATGAATTTTTTGGAGCCAAAATTCCTGTTATTCTATTGTTTCCAAATCGGTCGTGGCGGCTCGCTCTCCTTAGCGCCAGTCATAAAGCACATCTGGAAGGTGAACATAGCATTTCACGGCGTTCTGATACCAGCGGAACATGGAGTTGATCGACTCGGTGAGTTCAGCGGCATTTGTCTTGTCGACACAGCATTTATCGATCCAGAAGTGCTCCAAGCCATCGTATTTGGCTCGCTCAACGCAGAACAGAATTTTCCGATACTCTGACTTCTACGTTCCTTTCTGATCCTTGATATCATCGTGGGTGACTTCATTGATGTTGTCGTTCCATGTGTGCGATAGGATTGCGCATCGAGGGATTACATCTTTCCGTCAATGAGGTCGTTAGTAATTGTCAAGTTGACGTGGACACTGATCTGTAGAAGGCGCATGATTGCGCTGGAATCGTTGAAGGTAGACTTCCAGACCACTTGGGAGATATCAGACAACTACAATGATCGAATAACTCCATGTTATGTACCTATGCAGCATATTCTGAAATCTTTCCCTAAATCTTCTGTTTGGAATATGCTATAAACTATTACATGACCATCATCGGATACAGTAACAAGGCTGCTCCCTGGAGCTAATTGAACGACGAACTCTCCAAGCTTCAGCGCCTGGTCGATTTCAGCTTCGTGCACAGGACATTGCAGCTCTAGGACTGAGTGAAACCAGACTCACTTCTGCGGCTGGAAACTTGTCACTGCACCCAGATTTGAAAGAAACCAAAAAGTAAAGAAAGAATTGCAAGCAGAAATACTGGTACAGATGCAGTTGCGCGCACCGTTAGATGTACACTCTTAGAGCCTGTGTTCGCGACGCATCCTCCACGTCGCATTCCGGCGCCCAACCGTCTGAGGGGGGGTGGCTTCAGGCTGGTTCGCGCGGGGCTGGACTCTCCCGAAAGCGTCCAGCCCCGAGTAAACCATCTGCTCTTCCCCGGGAGCCCAGTCTCCCACGTCGATCGAGCCGGTCCGTCGGCCGAGCCATCGCTGCAGCAGACCTTCGGAAAAGGTATGCATAGCATTTCTGGGCGTTTTGGTGCCATCGAGCCATCGAATTGATCGCTTCTGTAAGCTCGGCAGAACTAGATTTGTCAGCACAGCAGGTATCTGCGCAGAAGTATTCGAGACGACCATCGCGTCGAGCCTGTGTACCGCAGAACAAGATCTTCTGATAACCAAGCTTATAGTTGGACCCTGACTAACCCCCCAAGTTCACGCAGCTCAACTTTCACTCGATACTCCAAACCACCAACTAGAACACTTCGGGAGCGATTATTGGTGGGTTGGAGTATCGAGTGAAAGTTGAGCTGTTGTTGGCTGTCGAACAGCCACACTCGAGCATTTCCTTCAGTGCGGCGTCGTGGTCCACTCTACAGATCCTTGATCGATGCTCAATACTCGAACATCCATTAGTCTACTTAGTAACGCTATAGTCGGAAGACTAGGTCAAGTACTCCATCCCTTATTGCTTATAGAGCATCCACAACACGTCGGCTGATCGCTAACATACGCCAATGGCCATTCGCCTAGCATGGTGTTTCGCATCGACTGCCTGGAGTGATTTTTCGTCTGTCCAGATCAGGCGCAGAATGGATGCGTGTCTTATTGTTGAATCCAATATTTGATAGACGATATTACAGTATTGAAACCAAAAATGAATTGCTCTTTGGCAGTTCCAGAGATATCAATAAAGGGCTGGAAGAAACCCCAAAGCGGACCGTGTATACCGTAGAACGGAATGCACTCATGCGGAAAGAACAATGTGAGCAAATCATTTGTGTATATAAAAAGTACTACCAGCAGGTCGAGAATCGGCGCAGTACTTTTTAGCCTGACTAGGTACATATGGTCATTTTCGGCTCTACTAGAGTGGGTTCGAAAGTGAAGTATGAAAGAGAATAGGTTACAGTACTGTAGGAGGCTGATTTCGTTAGGGACGTACTGTACCATTTTTGAATCAGTCTTCAAGTACTGTACGTACTGGGTGCCGTCTTCTCCTTGTGGTTGCGTTTGGTCCAGTTTCAACCTTCACGATCCTCACCAACATATTTAAGCTGATGACCCAGAGAAAGCACACAGGACAATATTTAAACTTTGAGACACCTTTAAAGACGAAATAACTCTCGAATAGACTATGGCAGACCACACAGCTTGCCACCTACGTCGAAGCATCGATGAAGGAACAACTACTTCAGCGGGCGACGCTATATCCGGTTACAACAACCTTTGGCCGGGCATCCTTACTTCAAATGATCACAGTTTTCTGAAACGAGTATTCCAATCGCACGGCAATGCTTTCTTCATTGGTTGCGGTCTGGAGAAACTGGACGATTCTCTGTGTGAGGGATCCGCTAGCACGTCGAGCCCCATTCATCTTATCCTTACCTGGATCGGTACAGAGTTGGTATTACGTGGTACAACCGATACCACTCATGTCCGATGGTACAAAGGTATAAAAGTCTTCCTACGCATAGCATTACCTGACCGCCTTTTTGGGATCAAAGTGGGTGATATGAGCCCGTATGTTTCGCTGGACAGCTCAACCTGCATAGTGTATCTCAAGGACGACAACCCCAAGTTGCGCAGAATCGCTCTACACCGGAACCAATACGATCCTCCCGACATGCCTCCATTTATATATGAGTTCAATCTTGACAACTTGCGCATGCAAGGTATGTCTGAGATAACGTGGCATATCAAGGCGGACAGCATGCCTCATCTGATGCCTCTCCTTATGGCAATAAAGAAAGGGGATGGACTCTTTCAAGACCTGCTTAGCCACCACACGATGCAAGCAAAAGACGAGGATAGCCGTACGCCGCTCTCATGGGCCGCAGGGCTTGGGCGCAACGCCATCGCACAGCGACTGATTGAAGAAGACGCTGAGCTGGATGTCCCAGGTAAGATAGTTCGTAGGTACGATTTATATGACTAACGAACAGTTACAGACAAAAATGGGCGCACGCCACTGTCATGGGCGGCAGGTAATGGCCACAAGGACATCGTCGGGATGCTCCTATATGCAGGAGTTACTCAAGAGCCCGACAACGAAGACAAAGTCCCGCTGGCTTGGGCAGCGGAGAGGGGCCACTGCTCAATTGTTGAAATGCTCTTAGACGGCCCTTTTGATGACAGACTGCCTCTGATCCTTGCGGCTGAAAATGGACAAGCGGCAGTTCTAGGCCTACTGCTTGACAATTTTGATCTGGAAAGCAGAGATATCCGTGACAATAAAACGATTCTTGAGTGGGCAGTCGACGCCAACAATGAGAAGTTTGTGCGGACGTTACTCGATAAAGGAGCCGATGCTCATGCTTTGGATGAGTTTGGTAATACTCCCATATCCCGAGCAATAGGCCTCGGCCACGAGTCCATCGTGATGGCCCTGAATATGACCAGGAAATCAGTGGCTCCGTGGACAATACTTCAGGACCATACGGACAGAGTTAGCTCCGTAGCCTTTTCGCCCAACGGCAAGTTAGTGGCATCAGCGTCCGAGGACAAAACAATAATTCTGTATGCCACCGATACAGGAGAACGACGAGCTACGCTTGATCAGCACGGAAGCAAGATCTTTGCGATGACCTTCTCGCCTGATGGCAACCTGATAGCGATTGCATCAGATGATAGAACAGTCACATTATGGGCCGTTGGTACAGGCCATCTCCAGGCCACGTTCGAAGGATATATGGACTTCATGACCACTATAGCGTTCTCACCAGATGCCAAGTTCGTCGCTGCAGCATCGCAAGACTACGATGAAGTGATCATGTGGGAGACTGACACCGGCCAGAGTCAAACGCTTGGAGGTGTCGGGGACGCCGCACAGGTCTTTTCGGTAGCATTCTCATCCAAAGGGATGCTATTGGCGTCAGCGCATGACGAGAGCGTAGTTTTATGGGACCTTCAGAACGGAGAACCTCAGCTTACATTTACAGGCCATACAGGTTGTGCCAACTCGGTGGCATTCTCGCCTGACGGGAAGTTTATGGCGTCAGCGTCAGATGATATGACAGTGATGATATGGAAAATTGAGAATGGCGAGACTCAGATGAAACTATGCCATCCAGACCTGGTTGATTCGGTCGCATTCTCGCCCGACGGTCAGTTCGTGGCATCGAGTTCAGACAGCATAGTCTACATCTGGAATGTCACTAGCGGCGAGCAACAAGCTAGATTAACAGGCCATAATGACCGTGTGGTCTCGGTCGCATTTTCACCAGATGGAAAACTTGTGGCATCAGGGTCAGACGATAAAACCATGATTCTTTGGGCTGGCTACATGAGCGAATGATCTTAGCAGTCTTTCTGTTCGGTTTTTTTTCCCCTTCTGCTAGTTTAACAGAAATAAATTATACCGCCTCCTAAAGCCGGTTTACGAATTAAAAAGATCTGTTAGAACGGATTAGATCCGCGTTGCTTGTTATCGGGTCTGGGAAACTTGCCCTCTCCACTCCGACCAAAGTCTCGGTACGGCAAGAGAATGCAATGAAGTATTTCGGTAAAAAGATTCCATGAGAAAGTTTTCTCCATGTAAGTCATAGCGTTGGGCATGAAGACAAGAATTATATGAACGTAAGGCAATACGTTTGGATCTGCCATACGGCGAAAGACCACTTCATACATACCCTTTGCTAAATATTGCGCCTGATTGAACGTCTCCGGCATACCAGCGTCTGCCATGACGGCGTCGGTTGCGTCGTGTGGACACTGTAATCGGGATCGCTTTGAGAATAGCATTATCCTCGTACCCGTAAGATACGAGGGCACAACAAGTGGAAATGCCGACGTAATAGCCAGACTCGATCCATCGCCTGGAAGTTCTACCGATGTGGTTGTCTAGACCCCTCTTCTTTGAGTACGGACAGTTCAATATTGGCTCTAACTGTTAAGTATCCTTCTGCGTTGTTAAAGTTCCGTATAATTACGGCATTGATACCGCGCAGCTACAACGAATTCTATCAAATAAAATAAGCAAGATGAATGAGAATGAAATGAGCAGAAGACACACTTTGAAGTGTGTGAGGTCATGTTTCGAATAGTACGAAGACTTTGAAGTCGTCGCATATCATAATGATGCGGAATAAATTTGATGCCTAGGACAAACCTCACACATGGCACGCAGCGTTGGTGTCTTGATTCGTACAGGAGCTTCTCGAACGTCTATTGATTTGTGGAAGGGAACAGTACTTGACGTCGCTGGCTTGATTTATGCCGCCGAGGCGCAATGTGACCAGGCATTGGTACTACCCACCAAAACACATTTAGATTTCCCTGAACTTTCGCTTTTGAGGACAGTCTCGTAGCAGGGCATCGCAGACGATTGTGGGGTGATAGATGAGGCGATCCAGCGCCGGTTGGTAACATTGCATCGGCCGGCAGAGACCGCACGGCAATCAGCCCGCCAACATAGCCTTATTGCGCTGGACCCAATCAGGCGAGGTGTGCTGGGTATCATATGTTAAAAGAATAAGTAACGAGTGCCATGGTAGATTTTGATATATGGCGCCAAAGATATTCTTGTCGGGTCCCTTTCCCTCCGCTGAGGAGGGTCACCACCAGGTCTCCTCCGGCCTAGTTGAAATTAGAACCAGAAGGCGGCTTTCCGGTATCACGTCCAGAGTATTGTATGTAAACGAAGTCTCCAGTTCTTATAGTGAATACGACCGGATTAAAAGTGGAAGTGGCAATTTCATAAGACGGCCAGAGATTGGAATTCTTCGTCAGGGCCCGGTGCACTTTGCATGGTCTGGCTCGCCGTGATCATGTGTTCACGTCAGCAGCCTTCTGACGGAGCAGCTCAACCGCATATATGTGACCTCCAAAAGAAGCTACCTGAACTGCTGTGCCATGACTGCCGCCTCTTTGTTTTAGTATTTGAGCCAACCTCAGTGTTGGATCAGATCGAGAGTTTATTGTTTCGCAAATGTCGGTTATGACATTGGTAAGGCCTAACAGTGCGGCATAGTAGAGTGAGCAGACTAATTTGTCTTGCTGTAATTTAGCTCCACGGAAATCAATATTCCACACGTGGACCCACATGGAGAAAGAGTCATGTAAACCACGAAACATTCGTGAAAACTGAGTATCGATGAGCGTCCTGTAGGAAGCTCTCAGTAGATGTTCCGGCCAGTACTGTATAGTGTACACTACAAAGGGATGTTTCTTTTGAACTTGTCGGGGTTATTCATCATGTCGCGACTGCAGCATTGCAGTGAAGCATATGTTGGCCATTTGAGAATGGGCTTCGGCTTTATACGATGCATGCTTCGGATTCAGATCGCAGGATACACCGACTTGAACGAATAATGCGTCAATCAGTTCAAGCGCATTCAGGTGTCTCTGGGCGCAGTATAGGATGGCGAACATCTGTTGTGCATACTGTCGCCACTTGGTCATGGTAAGCATACGCTCATATATTTGCTCTATTGTCAGCATCCGGAGTAGATGCTCAACAGCGTCCGCGCTTGTAGGAAAGCCTGAGAGTGTGTCAAGTTGCTCCTCAATCCATGGCAATCTGCAAACGTGTTAGTATATATACCACCATGCACGAATGCTGTCTCACAATTCATTATCTTGCTCTAGAATGTCATCAATAGCCCACGCGTACAATGGTGGTGTCCCTGCCATGGCCACGTCTGATGTTGCAACTACGACGAGCTCTCGAGGTTGATCATCATGTCCAAATTGAGTGCTCTGCCCAAGAGCTGGTGGACTGGATCTTCTGGCAAGTCTTGATCGACGAGATGGCCGGTTTTGTTGGAATTGTTGAGATCGTGGCTGGCGTTCCGTTTCAGAGCTTCGTGACAGTTGGAGACAGGACCTAGCTGCTCGTCGGGCGCTACGCGTTAGTGGCGTCGCCTGAGAGCGCTGACCTGGCTCTGAGGTCGTAGGGTATGGGTGAACTGCAGGTTTACCATTTCCAGAGCGAGGGCGACGTTTCCTCCTAGGTTCGGGTGGTTTCATGAGAATGTCACCATGATCGGGGCTTGCAACACTAGCGCTTCTATCGACTTGTGTTTCTGTTCTGCTCGTTGACATGTTCGATAGACTTGGTAGGCTTGACACAATGCTATTTTTACTTGCTGATTCCGTCGCTGTGACACTGCTGTCAGACTTTTCGGGGTTTTGTAGTTCCTTCTGAAAATCAATATTGTCTCTGCTGTGAGGGACCGGGTTATTCACCACTAGAGTTTGTGCTCTTTCTATATCCCACAACGTCCAGCATTTAGTATCGGTAGAAAGCGAGCTAACTTCGCTCATGCGACGCTCAGCCTGTGCTTGTAGCAGCACCTTCCGCAATTCGGACCATCCATGACGCTGATTTAGAGCTCTGAAATCAGCAAAAGCGCGCAGTAGCTTCTCTGGTGTGTCTTGTTCGGCTGGAACAGCCTCGTCTCGATTCGGTGGGAGAGACTCGTAGTGGTCCTGGGTCTCGATGCATTCTTGATCTAAATATATTCGTCCTAGCACATCTGTTGTCGTCGGAGTGCTACCCACTTCATGGCTAGACTCTCGACTAATCCTTTTCGCGATCAGCCGTGCTGAGTAGTCTCCTTCGTCCGTAGTCTCTCCTTTAGGATTGTGTGCTTTCTCGACAAGGATAGAGGCTCGATTGCTTCTGTCTTGGAGTGAAGAAAATGTGCCGGACTTAACACGCTTTCCAGTCACTGTGGGATATGTCACGCTTGGGACGCTCGGCTGATGCTTGTTCAAAGTCTCGGATTTATTCGTAGGTTGGAGGTGTGATGGAAAGCTGGTCTGAACGAATTTCGGGCGGCCAAGACGTTTGCGACTATTGAGGCCGGAGTTTGAAGTCTCACGAACCTGGCGGCTCTCCAGCGCCTAGAGTAGGGTACCATTGCCGGCAGACTCGCTGATCCTGCTCATTCTTATATCGCTGCGTTGATGATCATTGTTATCCTGCCATTGACATCTTGCCCGGCTTTGGCTCATCATTAACCTAGTTTAGTTGTGACAAATTGGGGATGGCACACAACTACCTTGTCACCTCAGGCAGGGATGGGTCGTGAGCTACCCCGAAAGTGGCTTAGATCCCTTTTCAACCCCCATCAAAGAAAGCGGTTGGGTAGGCGAGAACGCGACAACACAGTGGAGTGGCGCACTGTCGACAATTGGTCGTCTTAATGTTTCGACGGGTTCCTTCAGGCGGCACATTTAGAACACTAACCATCTATGCGCATGGACCCACCAGTCCAACTAGTCCCACCAATAAACGCCGAAAGTAAACGCAAACACGGAACGATTACCGTCCTCCGCCTCGAATAGGCTACATTATCTTAATTGTTCAAGAACGGTTTCGGTCGATTCTTTGGGAAAGAAGTTGCCACTTCAAAGCTGCCCCGGTCCAAATGGTCTGTACGTTGACAACGTCTTTGGCTGAGAAGCAAAATAATGCCATAAATATTAAGAGTACAGTTAATCGATTGCCCGTGATGACAGATAATAAGCAGTCCAAATACCGGCAGGAGATTCAGCAAATGATGTATGTCTCTGGTGAGACAGGCGAACCTACCGTCGAAGTAACAGCCATGATTGAGGAAATTGTGCGCCAACAAGTCATCGAGATGCTGCGCAACTGTACGGAGCTCGCCGCCCGCCGCAGCGCACGTTCAATCGCCATAAACGACCTGATTTTTCAGATCCGCGACGATGTGCTCAAGGTCTCGCGCCTGCGCACCTTTCTAAGTTGGAAAGATGTGCGCAAGAATGTGCGAGACTCTGACGACAAGGGAGGCGATGTTGAGCTAGGCGTCGACGACGCGGCCCTGGCGGCGGCATACCCAGCGCCGGTCCGGTTGAGGAGGCTGCCAAAAAGAACAAGAAGGCCACGGTCAAGCTGCCCTGGGAGCCGAGCAGTTTCTACACTCAAGAGGTGCCAGAACGCGAAGAGGAAGAGGATGAGGAGCAAGACGAGCTCAACTCCATCAGCCTGCAGCGGCTACGTAAGGCAGACGAGCGGACAAAAGCCATGACTCGGGAGGAATATGTCACATGGTCTGAGTACCGGCAAGCATCATTCACCTATCGGAAGGCCAAACGATTTCGGGAGTGGGCTGAATTAGGCATCGTAACGGACAGCAAACCTTCGGACGACATATTGGATATCCTAGGTTTTCTGACATTCGAGATGGTGCAAACCCTCACCGAAGAAGCGCTAAAGATCAAAGTGCAGGAGGACCTGTGGAAAGAGCGGCCTGGTGGGGAGAGCAACGCCAAGAAGAGGAAGCTAGCTCCTGGTGGTTTGTTTAGCCAGCCTAGTGAGGGCAAGACGCCTGTGGGGACCAGGCACGTTCAAGAGGCGTTCCGTCGGCTGCAGACAAGGACAACGAAGAGCCGCGCTATGCTCAATGGAACGAGAATGCAGCAGAGAACTCGTCTGAACCTCTTTTAGATCTTGGGTTGGCCTGTGCCTTTTGGCATTGGCCGGTTGAGTCGTACATGCACACGGAACTTGGTTTTACCATTCAATTACCCAGGCACTGTGGACTACGTCGACGAAGCCTAGGCGACCATTAATCATATGTCAACCTGGGAATGGTAAACGGGTTCTTGAAGGGCTGTAAACGGTGGAAGTCGTCCCATGTGGCTTGATTAAGCATTCGAAGCAGGGGGTTGACTCAAGCAAACTAGTGCTAGAGATCAGCGTCCAATTAGTGTCATCTCTTCTGTGGCTGTCACGCGAGGAGTAATACATTTCCAGCAGGCTCTCGTTATTATTAAAATTAATGAAAGTTTCCTTTTATTAGGAAATATTATTTAGCAGGAGTTGTTTCATACTTTTGTAATCATCAGTAGAAGTACACACTCGAGTACGATGGCGTGTAGGCGTTGCTTTCGCGGTGCGGGATGTTCCTTTATGGCCGACTTTGTTCCCTACAATGGTCCGGCTAAGTCGTGCTCTCTTAGTTTGGCTCTCAATCAGTAGTCATCCCTATGAGTTCAAGTGGAAGAGCTATACCGACGATATCGACAGTGTTGAACACTAGACATGTATCGAGTACCTGTTTCGCGGGAGAAAGGAGCTGAAGGATGAATCTTGCACTTGTCAACTCTATGCTGGGATATTCTTCGCTATTGAAATGCAACAATTTACTGCCTCATGACATTTCCTGAATCAGCCTCTAATCAAGAAACAGCTTTTACCGAGCTTTGTATTGTGCCCGGTTTGTGGACCGAAAGAGTCCGGTAGGAAACCGCTGTATCGGCGGTGGAGGGAGCCCGGTTTCGACTGATGAGCTCCCACCTGCTTTCGTTTATGACACCATGCTGTAGTAGCGCTGCATAAACTGTGATACCAGTGTTAATGGGCCTTTGTTACAAACCACTTAAAAACACGAGTAGGCGATGGGGGTCAAGCACGTCCCAGCCACTTGTTTTGAAGCATGCAGGAAATTATTATTTGAATTCGACTGGCAAAGGGTACGCACCACTCATTGCGACGGAAGATAGAGTTTAGGAGGAACGAAGTCTAGATTTGTCAATACTCTTCCTGAGCTCCAATATGACTTGGAACATCCAATTGAACTATATGCCAAGTTCCCCGTGCTCGTGTGTTCATAGGATAGCCGAGCAGGCAACTACGACGAGGTCTGGCAAGGCGCTGCTAAAGAACATGAGGTGACAAAATTACACAGCAGTTAAGGTATAAGCATTGATCATCTTACGATCCGGAAGCGGTCAAGATTGCATACTGCCCGCCAGTATGTGGGCAGGGAGGTGGTATAGTACTCCAGAGTCTGAACCAGGCAGTCATGATGATTCCGCCCATGCTGTGCTTCACAATGGTCCATGTGCTAACCGCGAATGTGCCAAACAGAAGACAAACAATCAGCTGCGATGCCGGCAGGTCGTACCGGATCGCGACACTCGAGTGCCACCCCATCCAATTTAAAGTCGGGAAAATCACCCGGAATGACTAGTATGTCTGCATTGTAACCATATTTCCTATCACATGTAACTGAAGATACTGACAGCATACAGAATGGCGGCCAATTGTCCCAAGGCTGTCTTCGGAGGATGGTGTCGCGCGTGTAAGGCGACATGCGCCGGTCAATGGTGACGTAGTAGACCCTCCAACAGCAAGAGCTCCTACGGTTGACATGGGCCGCACCGGTACGTTTGCTTAGTTATTGATTTGTTCTCCTGTGGGGTACTATACTAAGTCTATGTTGATGCCCATGAAGCAGCCGGACTCGGAACAGGAACCCACTGCAGATAAACTTGCTAAAGAGACGCGAGCGAGAGGCACGCCTGCCAAAGATTCCCCCGCAGAAAAGAAACCAGCCGCAAATAAGCTTGCCCGACCGAAATTCGCTGGGGAGAAGGATTCTGGTCAGGAGATCGAAGAAACAGGGCGGACGAGGTTCATCGCTGTCCCACAAGGGTTCAACACCGTTGCTGCCTAATAGAAAGTACTGGGTCTACAAGATTCTGGACCATGAGAGAGAGCAATCGACCTTCAAGTTCAAAATTCAGTGGGTGGGATATCCGGCTGACGATGCAAATATTACGTAGGAAAACGAGTCGAAACTAACTAACTGCGCCAAGGAGTGACTCCATGAGTACTGGGCATCCAAGGGTGGTCTGGATCAGTTCGTCATTAAGCGTCGCAAGGGCAGAAGAGCAAACACAGATCAGACAGCTACTAACGATCCACTTTGTATATTCACCAATGGATAGGATGATTGCTCCTAGACCATTGTTGTTTTTAAAGGCACGTGAGTTGGGGGTTTGAACAGTTGTCAGGGCCGGGTTAAGTCACTATTTTGTCGATTTCATACCCCACCACCCCGGGGGAGGAGCCGCTGACAGATAGCCAGTCACGAGGCATGACTTCACAAATCCCCCCTCCCCCTTTAGAAAAATTAGCCAATCTTCTTGAAGATATGATTTGGTTCTCGCTTTCATTTAGAAGTACATATTAAGTAGTCTATCGGATTGTTCAAACACCAATCACTGGATTGTGAGCTGTCACCAGGCTTCTTTTTTCCCTTAGGGATACTTGTGCTAAAAGCACTTTATAATGTTTGAACATCGTTCAAAGTGGATAATGAGCGCGCAGATGTGCTTATCCTGTCCCATCGTGGTAATGTATCCGATTTATTCAGCTCGTGCCATGCACTATTTTCAAGATTCTGGAACCAAAAACGGCTCTCATGAGAAACAAATCGTTGCCTTAAATCTACGTCATTTTGTTACTCTATTCTGTATTAGGCTTAGAGTTGAAAGCGGCTCTTTATCAAAGTTATCATACCTCCTGGGGCTTCAGATTTCACACTCCAAAACTCATCAGTTAGGCAAGCGACATGCATAGCCAAGTTTACGATGGCAATATATACTACGAAGTTCGTCAGGCTCAGGAAGTGGGCGACAATAGACTTGTCGATCGTTTGTTGTCGCCTGTAACTAAAATCACACGGAAACGTCTGCAAAGACTCTGGAAGGAATCAGAGCAAATGACAATAGCGTTCGACAAATTTCTAGATATTCCTGGTTTATGGCCAGGCATGCGTCTTGGTATGATGCACAGGATACTGGCCGTCAAATGCGAAGAGGTAAAGCTGCTGCCTCTACTGTCGCTTTATCTGACAATTTATATAGGAAATCATCAACTACCTCGATCACATATACAGTGTCTGGTTCAAGCTTGTCAGCAGAGATGTCTCAAATCTTAGGCGGATAGATACTGAGACAGTGAAGCAAATTCAATTAAGATGCCCAAGGTATTCATCTAGAGATGCGCAATTCCTTAAAAGTCACGTCGAAAAAGGGACACTTTTTCCGTCTTTCAGTGATGCAGAGCGCAGAACCATATGGTCGGAGCTTCTCAGCGTCGATACCATCATACCCTCACTTTACACATTTTTTGAAGACTTCAAATATCTTGAATCTTGTGCAGGATCCTTCCATCACTTCCTTGAACTTCCGAAACACTCCTCTGATACTATTTCGAGCTCACTAAGGTCAATTTTCCGACTGGGGGCCGTATCTAGTGGGCCTTTGATCCAAATACCAAATGACGCATGTTCTCTACGTGATGATGTACCAGAGGATCAATTCCACAGGGCGAAGAATGAACTCTGGCTCTATGTAATGAGATATTACCGAGAAATGGAACGACCGAAGCAGAATGACAGGATAGCCCTTGCAAGAGTCAGAACTCAGCAGGCAGACGCAGAAACCTTGACCAACTTCGCGGTATTGGCCAGCCAACAAGGTTTCAGAAATGTTCAAATTGATCATCTTAAGCGCAATGCGAAGGAACATGACAGTCCACCCAATTCAAAAACACCCTCAGACCGCGTCTTAGAGCCGGCAATACGCACAGAATCTTCTCTGATGACTGGAAGTCTTCTCAAACATCGTTGCGGTTACCCTCCTATTCCTCATTACAAACATGACAGAAGTTTCCTACTTTTCAATGTCATTGGGCAATCACGATGCATGAACGATCTTATTCATGATGGAGAAATCACTTCTATGTTCGTGCGGAAATGTGTATATCTTGCATTTCTGAGAACATCCCGTGAAGATGATCATGGAAATGCAGATGAGATTAATTCGCAGTGGGAAAGCGACGTAACAAGTTTATCAAGTCTACCAAGCCTATCAGTCGAAGCCATGGATCTCATACAGCCTCGGCATCATTCTGGGGTAAGGCATTCAGTTCAGCCAAATTATCCCAAACAAACGTTATCAGTATCCCCTAGATCTCTTCACTCCGAATACTCAAATTCTGTATATGGCAGAAATAGTAACTCAGGAGATACTCTGTCAGACTCGACCATCAGATTCGTGAGTCAAGAAAACGGAAGATGGAAGATTGCCGCGCAATTCAGCGTGGACTCTGGTCAACGGTTCAACGTTGAAAGTGCAGCATTTGCTCTGATGATGTCAGGCATAGCCTTGTTCTCGACATCATTAATTTCATTGGTCCCTGAAGAGTGTTATAAGTCCGCCATGTCGGGTGGGCAAATGGCAATCATTTTAGTTCCAGAGAACAGGATCAAGTTGGATGAGAAATTCAGAGATGCAATCTCGGCACTTGGAAGCTGAGTTATGCGAAACTTAATCGTGATAACCTTCTAAGGAAAAAAAAACACCCAAAAGCTATGTAGAACACGTTTTGCCTATCTTTTAGAATCTTTTGAAAATATTCTTAGCCTCCACTGCAGAATTCGGCTTCCTTTCTGTGTGGGGACTTAGGTCCAATACAAACTTGGGTCCAATATTTAGACCTGGTCTAGTACAGACTTGGGTCCAATGTAGACCTGGGTCCAATACAGACTTGGGTCCAATATCTAGACCTGGGTCAATGTAGACGGGTCCAATGTAGACCTGAGTCCAATGTAGACCTGGGTCCAATACAGACTTGGGTCCAATGTAGACTTGGGTCCAATGTAGACTTGGGTCCAATGTAGACCTGGGTCCAATACAGACCTGGGTCCAATGTAGACTTGGGTCCAATATCTAGACCTGAGTCCAATGTAGACCTGGGTCCAATACAGACCTGGGTCCAATGTAGACTTGGGTCCAATATCTAGACCTGAGTCCAATGTAGACTTGGGTCTAATACAAACCAAGTCTGTATTGGACCCAGGTCTACATTGGACTCAGGTCTAGATATTGGACCCAAGTCTACTACATTGGACCCAGGTCTACATTGGACTCAGGTCTACATTGGACTCAAGTCTGTATTGGACCCAGGTCTACATTGGACCCAAGTCTGTATTAGACCCAAGTCTACATTGGACTCAGGTCTAGATATTGGACCCAAGTCTACATTGGACCCAAGTCTGTACTAGACCCAGGTCTACATTGGACTCAACCCAAGTCTGTATTGGACCCAAGTCTACATTGGACCCAAGTCTACATTGGACTCAGGTCTAGATATTGGACCCAAGTCTGTACTAGACCCAGGTCTACATTGGACTCAGGTCTAGATATTGGACCCAAGTCTACATTGGACCCGTCTATATTGACCCAGGTCTACATTGGACCGAAGTCTGTATTGGACCCAGGTCTTACATTGGATTCATGCCAATGTAGACCTGAGTCCAATACACACCCTAACAGTCAGTTGGTGCCTCTCTAGGCGAGTGCCAGCACCTGGGATAATAATTTTCTTTCACAATGTAATATCGGTGACATAGACAATACAGTATCAACATCAGCTGCTTTAGTCTTTTCCTGTCTTCTTCAAGCCTTTGCATTTCTGGCCCTCGCTCATAAGTAGATATCAAGTACTCTTTCGGGCTGTCCAAGTATTGACCACTTGACTGTAAGCGGGGATCCAAGCCTCTATGAAATTCACATGCTCTCGAGTGCTTCATTATTGGCCACCGTAACCATATTCATAGTGCTCTAATACACTTCTGATGATGCAGGAACACTTCGTATACAGTTCATCAAGATACTTGAAGGGTTGAAAAAGCAACTTGTTAGTCAAAGCCAGAAATAGAATTTCTGTGCTTAGGAGAAAAAAAGAGAGAGACAAACAGAGGAAGCCAATTTTAATTCTCTATGCACTGATCAATAGGTTTTCATTTATTTTTATGGTTGTTCACGTCATGGGTATTATATATGTGCTTGCGTGGTCAGATTTGAATTATCCGTAATGCAGGGTATGTTTATTATAACCAGAAAAGGGATACTCTATCCCATTATGGTACTTTAGAGATTCGAATCATTTTGCAACTGTACCTTCGAAAAAAGGACTCAAAAAAAAAGATTTGTGCATGCATAGCCTACGTAACTAATTCACAAACACACACATTCACACTATTTCTTGATCGCAGCACATTAAGCATTTTGTTTTAGATAAGACATAGACGTTAAAGACGCTTTTGAATACAACATAAACAGTACATCTTCTCTTGATGCCCGATGAACTCCTCATAAAAGAATGCCGCGAATACATTTGGACCACAGTGAAACTCCACAGTCAATTATTTGGATTTTCCGTGAACTCGTCAGAATGAAGGATATCCATATCCAAGCAGTAATCAAGTGGTGTGGACCAGGTTGTCAACCTCATAAGGTCTATCAGGACTGTAGGAGATCGTGGAGCAGCTAGCAATTTTTGCTATAAAAGTAAGGGAACGGCACAGTAGAATAGTATAGTAGAAAGAGAAGTGCTCACCTCAAACAAAACCTGTAGACTTCCAACATTTCTAAGGCTAGCAAGGAAAATCATAGCGTTGGAACCTACAGCCCAACGATGATTACCCCGTTTAAATTCGTTGCTCATTCTATATTTGAACATCAATCTTGACGTGATATTTTCAAGCTGGTCAATGTCGTGGGATAACGCGTTTGTTGCATTTGAGTACTTGCTATATGTTCGATTTGCTGATAAACTTAATACTACTTTTCATCTTTTAAATAATTGAACTCACAGATTTTGAGCACACCGGATTGATTAATCACAATTTCTTTTGGCTCCAGGGAAGTACACTTGAGCTCTTTAGATTTCAGATAGAAAAGAGCATCCAGAATCTGGAAAAATTAGTGCCGTAACAACAAGGTAGACTGGCCACGCTTACCTGGCCTAGAATGGCATTGAGCTGTGCCTCGTCGGGATAAACTGCGCATTTGATCACCTTCTCTAGGGTCGTGGATACGTCCTCGAGAATGAAATATAGTAGGCCATCCTCCAAAAAAGCTTCGATCGCATTATGAAGATTCTTGTGCCGAATGTCTTGATACATGTTAAATACCGCGTTTGCATTTGTTGCTCGATATCGCCGTACTAGTGCGCATGTGTACGGGTGCATTTGTTTCACTGCAAAAGTGCCAAGTCCACCCAAGTCGACACCAAATGAAAGTCTATAATGATGGTAAGGAGATTCATGCCGTAGGGGTAGTGCTTGCCTCGATGACTTGTCCATACGAAGATTGAAATCTTGTGTACTGGCGTCTCCACCGCCATTACGAGCATCATAGGCTCTCTTCAAACGTTTCCTTTGGTACGAATGTCCGTTGTCTGGCTTTGCAGGATCAACTTCACTAATGTGTGGTTGTGTCACTGGGTTATCTTCGAGCCTCCGCAGTTGTCCAATCTGAGTGATACGCTTGCTGCCAACATCCATATCGTGGATGATATTATTGCAAGCGAGATGTCATACTTGAAAAACAAAAGCTTGTTGTTTCAATTAAGACGAGATAGGCTGTCATATATCAATGTGAGGCGGAAGTGGCCATAGCAAAGCTGTTCCTGGCCTGTTTTGCCGCTTGCCCAGCAGGGCTTGTTTAAGGTCTTTATATTCTTTTAGACTTATGTTGTTGACGATGAAACCGGTATCGAAATAGCTTCCGCATTGAGGGCAAAAAGTTACCCTTTTAAGAACCATTTTCAGACCGAATAGATAGAATGAGTTAACCCGCTTAGGCAATTAAGATTAAAGGTCCATGATAGTTGATCAGTCAAGAGCTGGAATCAGTACTGCCAGTCTGAAGCCATGGTTCATGCCACAAGAAAAAGATCACTCCATTATGAGACGTTTCCAGCGTCACCAAAGTGTACTAAGCTTGTACGAGCCAGATAGTGCCTAAAGTTATTTGGGTAGCGCCTGGATTTGTCTTGCATTCTATGAATAATTCAGAAATGGCACCATTAGATATGTGCATCTTGCGGAGGCTCTCATGAGCCATGACTCGAAATAGATCTCCAGTATGGACTCAATAGGTGCCAAAGAGAATTTAGAAAAGTGTTCTTGTACTATAGCATTGGTTGCCATCTGGGATAGAACGAGAGTTGCTAGATTGTGTGGGTGCATATTTGTGTACAAGGATGCTCTCGAATCTCGGAGCATCCACAGTGACACCAGATCGATATAAGCATGCAGACCTCTAACAACTCCATGCATCTTGGCTATCTCAAAATACGTCATAGATACAAAGTACAGAGACACGAATTTCAGTCCCTCAAATGGGAAGAGTCGCCCGCCACTGTGCTGTTCTGTAGGTTTTGAAAGACAGGCAACATCTTGCTTACTTCCTCAGAATACCTATTGGCGATTTGCTCTGCATCTTCGGCCCTTTTCATCCAAGATTGAATCTCCTGCTCTTGAATTCTGTATTTATCTCTCATTGAATCCAAATCTGCCTTTAATTTGCCCTGGTTTGCTTTGTGTTTCATCAAATCAATGTCTCGTTCCTGAATTATGTTTTCCAAACAATGAATCCTGTTCTCCAATTGTTCAATCTGTACTGTGAAACTTGTTGTTTCTGTTTTCTAGCAGGGAGAATAGTCAGCAAAGTCTATGTTTAACTAGAAGCGGATTAATAACTTATACATACATTTACGCGTTCATCACTACCATGATCCTCGCTGAGTACGGCTTCAAATGTTTGCCCTATACCTTCGAAAATCTTTCTGTAGGCTCCTGTTGAGTGCTCACTTAAATGCTTGGTGAATATTTCTTTCGCTTCTGGAAGCCATTCCCATCTATACAGGTCTTTGGACGATGTGATTAGGCGAATTTCAGAAGTCGGAATAGTGATCCCTGTCCGAAGCTCTAGGCTTTGTTAGAAAAGTAGAATTGATGTAACAAGTGAACTGACCGATGTGTTCCGCCAGTGCCACTCTACACTTGTCTCTCCACCGTCTTCTTTCCACATTGCTTGATTTTGGTGTCATCATTCCCTATTAACAATGTGCTGCCACACAAACTTCAATTCTAGGTGAGCTCGAACGCAATTCCTTATAAATATTACTCAGGAGAATCATCTGGAGAACGACGTTTGGCAATTGTGGATAGTTATCTGAAACCCAAGTTCACCACAGGCTTCAAAAGTGATCCCTTGTGAGCCATCAAGAAAGTCGTATAGTGGACTTGTTACATAACATGTCGTTCGCAAGCCTTTTTGACATGCTCTCGAGCTGATTCTATATATAGCTTATGATTATTTATCAACACACCTAGTAGTTCTGTCAAAATTCTACAAAACCAATATTGTTCAGGTTTAAGCAATAAACGAAACTATGTGGAATTTACACTATATGAAGAACTTATCCTGCCCTTTCTCAGAGCTGGAATGCTAGTTGAGGTCATAGCACGGATTCGTCTGGCTGGAAATCGAGTTCCTTCAGCACAACTTCTTTGGCCAGATGGGGCCGAGCATGTTCTCGGATTTGATCACGGAATAATCCGGTCCCTGACACTAGCAAATTTTAGATAGATGGATGGTGCTGTTATGCTTTACGTACTTACCAAGAATCAGGACATTGGCGTCATCTTCCTCTTCCTCTTCCACTTCCACAACTCCATGACGTTCTGGGACAACAGGTTCCCAAAAACTGCTATCTACCGCTTGTTTGATAATTGCTCCGATATTTGGGACGCCCTTATGTATATGTAGGCGAAGACCGGGAGGGTGATTGATGTCGTATTCGAAAAAAATTGAAATTGTAAACATCTTTTCATTCCAATTAGACGGAAGTCCTACTAAAAAAAGGCAAGAGAACTATTTAGGCCACTCACGTAACTCTGGTCCTTCTCTAGGTTGCAATCCAAGAATTTATGCACAGAGTTGATGTGATCTAAAACCTGATGAGTTCCGACTTTTGTTCCGTCTTGTTTTCTGCACTCACCCAGTTCTCTGGCGTGCCACACTAAATGGACTCTTCTCGTGCATCCCTTCCTAAGACGGTAACCATGAATTAGTTTAGTCAAATAAGGGAACAAGGCGACGATGCCGAAGTCGTTCGCGGTCAACAGCACACCCCTGTAGTCCCAAACAGGAATACTTTGACCGTAAGGTCCACTGAAGAAAGCTAACTTCTCAACACCTAATGCGTTTTGACCGACAGCACCGTCCGTTGAACAGTGGTTGCGAATGTTGGCTGTGAGACCTCTGCGTGGTCGCACAACAAGTTCTAACTTGTCTTTTGCAACATTCGACCAGGAAGCAACCATAAAGGGATGCATCTGAACAAAAGACCAAAATCCGGTGTTCGGGATCCATAAAAGTAGGTACTGACCAGCATCTATTCTTAATGCTCTAGAAAGTTGTACTTCTATATGGACTGCATTATGTACCTCCCTTATAAAGGCTTTAGTGAACGGATGCCCAAATCTTTTATTGCGAAACATCATTAGGCAAGAGCGTATCATAGTGGTTCCGACTGAGATCACCAAGTAACAAAAGAGACATCTAAACTGGAAGCTTGAGGTCGGAAGTAGATGTTGGCAGAGTCCAATAATGAACCCTATTGCTAGACACTGATGTACTTTCAGGAATATTTCATAAATTCCATGTCGTAAGAACGAAATAGACAAGATGATGAGCATAAAAAGCGACACGGTGCCCTATTTTGAAGTCAACGCACATTCATTGGCAGATTTGTGGTCCCGGTACCGATATGATATATATATTCTCGGAGACCGAAAAAGCAGCATCGGTCATGATCATCATGACGACATGACACGAGACCAAGCCAAAGCACATCCAACCACCTGCACGGTGCATACGTAGGCCGACTTTCAGAGGAATATGTAAGCTATCGAACCAGAACTCTAGGGAAAAGTTTAGCACAAGGGGGACTAGGTTTAAAAGAGCTAGATTTCCTGCTCGAAGAGCCGCTTCACGCAGCGACTGGACACGAAAAGTCAGACAAACTGTATTTAGAGCGAAATAAGCGACATGCGCAGCGACGGAGGTTACAGTGACAGGGCCGATATATTTATGTCGACGCATCAGATATCGATACGAGAAAAGTCTTGATGGTAGTGAGCATATCTTTTTGGATGACTTTCGATGATTTATGATCAGATTGACCAATAGCACAAAAAGAAACACACCACACCAAGATATAGCGTAAGGAAGGATGATATCCATTACTGTGTGTTTGTGAAATTGAAACATCTTTTTTGATTAGCGTGAAGAGGATTTGTTATATATATACTCGAAATTGGTTGTATTTGCCCGGGCCTTTTACCGTGCTAATCTTGAGTCCAGAGATGGACACTGTAAGGATATTGTACCCAAATATTGTAGCTAGTTGCCAGGGGACTCCAATACTGGACCTTCGGCTTCAGACATGTACAGGATTGATCCGGAGAGCCATTTCCGTATCTTCAGGTATATGCAGCCCTGAGCATGCTGCTACTCTGTACAAAGGCTCTTGAAATGGAACTTTTGTAACCAAGTGGAATAAATACTTTCACATTGAAGATTCGAGCCGATTGATATTCTAGTCATCCAATATCCTTGCTACAAGTCGGGAGTTTTGGAGCTTGTGAAACAATTATCACATAGTCGTGTAGATTCTTGGGCAATCGAGAGAAATGGACGAACATGTTTACAACAAGCAGCAAAAGGACAAGGCTCGCAAGAGAGGTGCGTCACTAAAAAGTAAAAGTCTTGAATTGGGCGAGCATTGCGACATCTTCACTGCTGTAGCGTACTGGGACCCCACGCACAAGCGAATGGAGGCGGTCATGTATGTTCCGAGTGGCCAGAAAGCCCCGGATCTCACTAAGATTGTGAGTTCAGTAGTTTTGCTGGACAGCATAAATACTGATTTCGATGAACAGTTCGAAGATTTGGAATGCGATGATTATAAGCAGACTGTTTGGAAAAAGCGTTCAGGACCCTCGAGACACCAACGGGTCACGAAGAAACAACGCTTGAATGACAAATTGCCGATTGACCAAGGAGCAAGGGATGGGAATCAACCAAGAAGAATTTCAGAAAGACTCAAAGCCAAAGATTGTACAACAGGCATAAATGGGGAAGCTGACCTTATGCAAGGTATGTATCCGTCGAGCCGGCCTGTGTTTGAAGACTCTTGACAATTTACCCAAAAACGGATTTCTGTTAACATAAACCAGGAGTTCGCAAAGCTGCACTGCAGCAAGATCACTCTGGAGGCTTGCAAGACTGCGAGTTCGAAGTAGTTGGGCCAGGGGAGGCCATAAAGTCCCGGAATGAGGTAATACAGCCATTCCAAATCGACCATCTATCCTGGCCCATGATCAATGGAAGCCTTATGGGACAGAAAGTAGTGGCACACCGCACTGCTGCTTCCACGAGGAGGCTTGTTCAAAAAGTCATCAAGCTCTTGGAGGGACTTGTTCCGAGGCCCGAGGAGGTTGTTGTTTGATTGATCAATTTTGGGAACGGATAAACTTATAGAATGATACAAAGATTTCAGTGTAACACTTCGACTCAATTATAGTGTGAGAATATTTCATATAAACATAAACTCGTGCATAACATTTGAAGTCGGAGCAGGAAAGGCAGTCACTCTAACACACGCCACACCCCAAATCATTTATTAGATTTGAAGCTACACGGAGAACAAGTACGAGAATCCTTAGTAGATCCGGATTTAATGTATACCTAGACTTTAGAGGATTGGCTACTAAGTGAGAATATAAAAGGAACTGTTATAAAATCTAGAGGAACTATTCTGTTCATGTCTTGACAGTAGCCTTGTCGGAGCAAAGACGTTGGCTTGGCGAAACGAGATTGTTGTTACTATCATATGCACTACGTATAAGGTACAAGACAAGAGATGAAGGAGAAAAGAAAGAATAGCACGTGACACCGAGGTGATCTCGGTATTGCTATAGTCGAAAACATGATTCCATAGCTCTCTAACTCATTCTAGGCTCTTGGATTTTTGTAATGTTTGCTTGTCCCATAATAAGCGCTTCCTAAATCCCTCGAACTAGTCATATGAGAATCTCTCCGCTTCGGGATCCTGTGCCCTTTGTCTGGATCTCTTCTCGTGGTGATGCTTTGAGAGCCTCAATAACCTTTCAGTATTATAGTTATCCAGAACCTTCCACGTCGGCGCACTTGGACGGCCGGAGCGAGTGTGATAGATTTTGGAGTTGTAGAGAGCTGAGTACGTGTCCAGCTTGGAAAGAATGAGTCGTTGCGGTTGTGATATTACTTGCTGGTAGGACTTGTTCTGGGTTCTGGAAGGAGTGACAGATCCACACGGAAGCTTCTTTCTTTTAGCAATATTGACTCGTCTTCTAGGCCTTTGCAATTTCCGAGAGTACTGTGACTTATCGTTGAGTTTCTTTACAGTAATCTTGCTGTCTTTTCGATTCACTCGGGCGCGTTCGTTCACACGAGGATTCTCCTCAACTGCATTGTCTTTAAAATATTCTCTTTTACTTTGCACGTCCGTTTCGATGTTGGTGTCTTCAGTTTTATCGTCAGAGCTCGGAGATTCAATACCCGGGTCCTCCTGGCCCCGAAGAGGCTGTAGTCTAGCCCATTGAGATCGTGTTCGGCCAGCCCAGACATCAGCTAGGACTTGGCCTATTAGAACAGCAGCTAGAGTGGACATCTGCATGGTAGAAATACTTGAGCAGGTATCGATAGTGTAAACTATTTCAAAGCGAGTAATGCATACACACACACACACACACACACACACACATTTATTACGCCCGGGTTATTCCCCTAGAGGGCAACTAACGTTATAGTACAAAATCGCTTCTGAAGTTTCCGTCCTAGCTCCGACTTGAGCCCATAATCACAGACTAATTGATTTTCGTCTCAGTCCATTTCTCTTCCATGGCATCCCTGTATAATACTGTTAGTTGTTAGTGCATAGCAGATCTGCTTGAAGTTGACTTCTCCAAGTGTTCAGAGTCCTATCCTCGGCGACTAAAGCGCGACCTGCTGACTAGGTTAGTATACATTACAAATACCTCCACTATTGTGCCCGCTTTTATCCTATTGTTCTGAACTGTCCATTCCCTTTATTGTGAACTGTAGACGACCCGTCGCCATGGCGAATTTGATCGTAGCCCGAACCGCTTCCATGTCTGGTGTCCAATCCTTGTCGTCGCTGTTCGTCTTTCCGCCTACAAGGAACGAAATGCTCCTACTTCTGTTTTGTGTGTATTTGAGTAGGTCTTTGCGATGGCTTGTCCATTTTCTGTAATGCAGGACGAAATGCTTTACCGTCTCTTTCGCATGTCCATAATCACATTGTGGTGAAGCGACCGCGCTAATTTGTGCTAGGTAATAGTTGAGCCTCGCCATTCCTGTCCGTAGTTGGACCAGAACGCTAGCCTCCTTCCATGACAACGCGTCATATAATAGCCGGGTATGTCTTCCTGGTAGTGTTGTGTCGATCCGTTTCGAGAACGCTCTAATGTTGTCTGGTAATGCTTCTGGTTTGTTGAGTGTCTTTCTGGCGTTGTTTAGTGTGGTCGATTTGGCCCGAAATGGCGCTGCGCGAGGCGGACCGCTTGGAAGAGTCGCTTTTCGCGTAGCTTCTTTGGCTAGCCGTACTAAGGCGAAAATACCATTATTTGCATGACGGCGGGTATCATTATTAATAACTTCGTCATCATCTTGATTCTCTGCATGTTCTTGTGCCCTCTGAACAATGATGATCTTGTTTCTCTTCTTTCTAAGTTGAGCTACGGACGCGTAAAAGTCGGTGATCTCCTTTTGGCCCGATTAATGCCGTGGCTGTTTCATACTTAGAGCAGCACCATTGTTGCTTGTGAATATCATAACTACTCGCTGCTTAAGGTATTGCGGTACTTTTCGTAGGCCCCGTGTCATTGCTGCTAGTTCCGCCGTGTACGGGTTTTGCTCTTCTCTCGTTCTAAGGGTGACTGATTGTAGCATAAACTTGTTCTTTGCCGAGCTGGACTCTGGTAGTCGTGTGGCCACTCCGAATCCTACCAGGTCGTTCTTGCTTGAGTTGGCCGTGGCGATCCGGACAGCCCATTGCGCACTAGCTAGCTTAGTCGCTCGATCGCTACCTCCCGACACGACCTCTACCCGATCGATCCACGGCTCGATTACATAGGCGTCGATCGTCTCTAACCTGCTTATCGGCACGTTCTTCATGTCTTTTACAAGTTGCTACATTGGCGAGATGAACCGCGTGAACATCCGAAACCCTGCCGTGCGAAGAGGGTTGCTACTCGGCAGTGTATAGACGTCGACCCAAAGCTTGACTGCCCGCTTGGCAAAGCGACTTCGAGCTGGCAGGATGTGTGCCTCCGCCTCGCCGACGGCCGTGGCTACCTTGCTAAACGCGCCTATAATCGCTTGTACGCCCACTCTCTACACTCTATTGACGACGTGCATCAGTCGATCACCACAGGTATATCTCCAGACGTTCGATGCGTAGTCCAGAATCGGAGCTACCATGGCCGTAAACAGCTGTCTGGCCGTCGCCGGTGGCAGGCCTTTGAGACGTCTCAGTTTAATAGCGGCTTTTAGCGCTTTGCTCGAGACGCGGGCCACGTGTTGTCTATAACGTAGTTGCGAGTCTATCGTGACGCCTAGAATCTTGACCTTGTCTTGTGGATATACCCGCTCCCCTTTGATCAGGAAATGGTTTTTATTCACTCTGGCCTCTTTCCGACTAAAGTGGATAATGGCCGTCTTGTCTGCCTCGAACGTGGCACCGCTACGATTTTCCTAGTCGAGAGCTTTGTCGATGATTGTTCGTATACCCGCCTCATTCGCTTGCGCTGACGGACCTGCTACCCACGCCGTGTAGTCATTAACGAAGGCAACGGAACCACCAACTTTGTTGATGGGATGTTACACCAGGTCTGTATTGAAGAACAGGAACAAAATGGGTGAGAGCGGTGAGCCTTGTAGTAGTCCTACTTGTGGTAGACTATGGCTCTCAGAAGTACGACCATTGATCTTAATCGTAGCCGTGCGGTTAGAACAGAATGCATCGATCCACTTTGTTAGGCTTATCGGTATGCCCCGAGCTTCCATCCTCTGGATGAGCCGCTCTTTGTACACTCCATTATATGCCCCTTTTACGTTAAAGCTGATCAAGCTTACTACCTGTCGTCGTCGCCATGCCTTGTAAATGTACTCCTGTAGTAAGAGCACTACTTGTTCGGCTGATCTGCGTTTCCTCGCCCCAAAGTGGTTCGTAGGCAATAGACCGAATTCTTCTACGACATACGAGATCCTCTCAGCCACGACTGACTCCAGCACCTTGCCCAGGGTCGACAGCAATGAGATCGGGCGCCATGCTTTAGCCATAGTGTAGTCCTCCTTGCCCGGTTTCTTGAGCGGTACAATTTTAGTATGTCGCCACTGCTACGGGAGCACACCCTCGGCTAGCGATTGTCTGAAGAGCGCTAGGATCCTATCCCTGACGACCACCCATGTCTGCTACCACACAACTACCGGAAGACCATCTTCGCCAGGTGCCTTCCGTGGTTGGGCCGCAAACAACTGTCGTTCAATCTCGTCTAACGTGATGTTAGGCATGCTGACCGGGTCCCTTGTCGTTATTATCCTTTCGTCTGCAATGTCTTCATGCAATGGCGGGAAGAAGCACCGTAACAGCTCTTACGCTTGGTCATTCGTGTTAGTGGTCTGACTTCCATCCTGCTTCGTCAGCTGGGGGATCTTGTCAAACGCTGCGCCGCTCTAAGACTTCAGGTACTTGGCTGCATTCCAAATGTTGGACTCGTCAACAAGAAACTCATCCCAGTGTTTTCTCTTCTGTTCGCGAATGCTCGTGTAGTACTACTTAGCCGCGGCCTTGGCGGCATCGTCCAGCGCCTGTGAGAAACAACCTGCCCTTCTCTCCGCCCTTGCTCTGTTCCTCTAGTACGTGTATACTGATCGCATTTGTGTCAGGTCCGACGTCCACCACCGCTTTGCATGAGGTGATGCTTTGGCCTTGGGCGTGAGCGCGTGTACTGCTTCAGCTACTGCCGACATCAGGTAGTCCGTCTTTTGTTGCACTGTTTCTCTAGCGGGTAACGCCTCGAGTGTGTGTGCGATGCGCTTGTTGATTTCCTTCCATGGTGCATTGCGAAGGAGCAGTCGTTCTCTCGGTTAGAAGTCTAACATGTCCATGCCTATCGTTGTCTCGATCGCTCGATGGTCGGATCCGTGGTTTACATCGGAAGCGGCGCAGTGCGCTACTTGCCTTACCAGCTCGTTGCTGGCCAACACCAAATCAATCGTCGTCGCTGATACGCCCTTCTCCCACGTCTTCGTCCCCCGCGGCAGAAGACTCTGTAACGAGCAGTCGCTCATCAGTTCGATGATCGGGTCTGCTTCTCCTTGTCTAGCCAATGTCACCTCCTCTCCTCCCCATAACTGATCGTGCTGATTGAAATCTCCAACTAGCATGATGTCTACAATATCCCCTCGTCTCCGTCGAGCGTTATTGACTACTATGCGTAGTAAGTCACACGCGTCGCGGAGAGCATCCTGGTCGGTTGGCGGGATGTACAACGAGACTACTAACACCTTTCTCTCCCCAATCCTAATCATCACCCCGGTCATGTCCGGCGATGCGATCATTACCTGCTCCGCTTCTAGTTCCTTCCTTACCCATAACATACTCCGGATCGCCCATCTTCCGTCCCTGCTCTCCGTCGGCACTACCTTTGTCCACCCGTAGTGTGCGCGTGGCACCGTTATCAACTTTCCCTCTTTCATCCTCGCTTGTGGCTCTTGTATGGCCACAACCGACACTCCCCTCATTCTCGTGTCATTCATCAGACTCTCTTGCACCGTTGCCTGTCGGCCCACATTCAGCTGCACCACCCGGAGCTCTCTAGTCATGGCGGACCGGGTAGAGCTTCGGACAGTTTCTGCTAAAGGACTCGTGCGGACCACCACATGGCACACATCTGAGCACCGCTTCGGTGCACTCCCTGTGCACATGGCCTTCCTTAGCGCACCTTCCGCAGACCCGGCTGTTCTTGCACTGGAATGACTTGTATCCAATCTGCTGGCAGTTATAACACTGGGCAGGACCTTCGCGGCGTTCAAATACGCTCGTGTAGCCCGACTCTCCTCCGGCGTGGATGAAGCCTTCCTCCAACATCCTTCGGGCGTCTACTACTTTGGTCAGGTAGACTACCATGGAACCATACGCTTTGGGCACTTCTTTCTTGCTTAACCAAGAGATCTTGGCCACTGTTGCTTCGTTCTCTTGTCCAATCGCTTCTGCCGCCCCTTAGCGGATGTTCCCGTTCTCGTCTAGCACGGTAGTCCGGTTGACGCTGTCCACCTTGATCGGATACAGCTCATCTCTTAGCACTCTTGCTCCGCCGGTCACGATCTTCTCGGCGGTTCTCTTCACGAGCTCGTGCTCGCTTTCGTCTCGGCATACGATCTTGATTCTCTGTGGCCTTTTTGGGTCCATCGTCACCGCTCGGCATCTCCACTCCTTGTGATCTTCCATCGATCGGATCTCTTTCTCTACCGCTGCCCTAGTCGTTCCAGCGTTCCATGTGTTCGCATTGTCCGCGCTTACTCTTGTGGTGTCGATCGTGCAATATAGTGTGTCCGTGAAGTTGGAAGGGGTCGTGTTTCCTGTGCCTAGGGAGCGCACGTTCGTGGGTTGGCTTGTCGGTGGCGTACGTGCGACGTCTGCATACGATGCTTGCGGGCTCTTTTGCGTGCTTGCGATCAATGCCTGGCCGGCCTTGATCTCTTCCAGTTCCTCCCGCACGCTTTTCAGTTCGGTCGTTAACTGTTCCACCAGATTTTTCATTGCGCTAAGCTCCTGCCTGTGCCGGTCGCTGCTTTCTTCGATACTTTTGGACAGATGCATAACCATCGCCTTCATCTCTTTCCCTTGTCGCGCTGAGAGTACTAGCATATCCAGCATTTTCTGGGGGGCAAGTCCCCCGGTGACCCGGTCGCCATCTTCGCGAGTTCTAATCGGGTCGTCGTTTGTCGTAGTGCCAGATGCAGTTCGTCTTGTCGTTCTCGCTGCCGTTGTAGTGGCTGTCGTCGCCCGCGTCACACGTCTGGCCGTCGTCGCGATAGAGTCTGACACCCCCACCACGATTTCCGCCTCCACGTCGGAAGCCATTTTAGCTCCCGCACCTCGCGTCGGCTGATCCTCCAACCACGCCAATCAATTCGTCCGGTCTTACAGTGTTCGTCGCCTTCGTGAGGGTTAAAATTGCAGTGTCTTTGCACTCTTCTACCGGTCAAGTCGGGCAGAATGTCTCGTGCCAACAGTCATGATTGATCCCGTCGTAGGAACAATTACAGTCAGTAACGAAATTGGCTTCCGCATTAAGAGCAAGAATTTGTTTCTCGCGAGAGCCGTTTCTGGATCGAGCATTGTAGAATGATAAATACATTGTTCTTAACTTGTTCGGGTAACGATCCGTATGTGTCCATAGCGTGGACAGCGTAAGACTGGGAACTGGGTGAAGTCTTAGAATTTACACTATCGATCTGAATGGCCTGTTCCATACATAAAGAACATGAATGTTTAATTGCAAGACGTTTCCAGGAAAGCAATGTGACAAATTCATGTCAACCAAGTAATGCCTATCTGAGTAAGCGCTAGAATTAACCTGTCAATTTCGAAAAGGATTTAAAAATGGCTCTCGAGAATATTGATTTTCGCCCATATGGGCGGAAGCCGATTTCGTTACTCACTGTAACAACAACAGGGCTTACGTATGTATCGTTCTAGGTACAGTAGCTTAGCGAAACCTGACATAGGTTAAAATTCTTGCGACATACTTTACTGAGCGCTAGCGTTGAGACTGAAAGAGCCGTGACTAGGGGGGCGAAAAGAGCCATCCTGCGCATAAGGACTAAATGGCGCATCACTTCCTAGTTCGGATGATCGCTCAAATGGATCCTACAGCACCCCACGCTTTGGCCCTACTAGTATGCAGCAAAAGTGACTGTAATTATTATTGATCCTCGTTAGCGTGCGCATCATTGAAGGCATGTAGCTATGCGTACAAACTAACCCTTCTTCTACAAGACACGCTATAGGACGCACCCCACAGAAAAACGGAAACAAACAAGACAGGAAGTAGCTCAACGCAACAGCTAGTGACGAGCGACTAGTGGTCAATATCCGGTCGAGACCTGCAGGGGCTGCTTTTGCTGTGTATCGCCTTGTCCGTCGGTTGGAAAAGTGGAATATGCGTGCTGTGACCAGAGTTGCTGCCTCGCTTGGTAGGCGGGTCTTGACCACCATGGTTGTGTTATCAGGCATCCCAATCTCTATGCGAAAGCATCCAGTATTGAAGTCCACTTGCCAATGGTATTCTCTCATGAGCGAAAGTGCGGTGGGGAAAGCTGTCCTGCCGATTATCGAGTGGTCAAGTTTCAGTATTCCCGCATGGCTTTCTTTGTATCCCTGCAGGCGGCACGCCAGTCGTGTAGCAATGTTATATTGGTGGAAGTCGCGGAGTTGTGTGTAGCCGCTGGGTTGCAGCCAACATTGCATCACACATGCATGTGTGTACATCTGGCCTGAGCTGATTCGATGCTGCGCAAGAACCCCCGCACTTCTAAGATCACTGAAAAACAACTGCTACCTTCATTGCGATCGTTTTATTCTCATAGTCTTCACACCTTCGCAAAACAACAAAGTATTGAGCATTATTTGAGAAGTACATCACCTTTAAAACTGACGAACAGACGAGAAATGGCAAAGCAGGGCAAAAACCCACGGCGAACTGATAGCCCTGATGCAGCTCCTAACACTGGTAAACCTGACGCGCGACCTAAATCCTCGTAAGTGGTAGCCAATTCGCTATTTTGAATTGGTTTATAACGTTCATAAGCCCTTATGCAAGCTCAAGCATCCGGGTGTCCTTTAGTGATGGTCTCACTCTTAACGTGCCAAGCTCTTTGCTTCAGAAAAGTCCAAAACTATCATCAAACCTTGCATGGCCCTCTTCAGCCCTAAGATTAGACGATATCACTTCAGCCGTCGGGCATGTCATCTTCCACTACCTCCTTACTGGCACGTATCAGTGTCTCCAGCCCAAAGGCGAATCACCCCGTGAGCGGCTTGTTGACGAGCTCACAACAAGTGTTCACGTTTACAATGCTTCTCAGCAGTACGAACTTGAGTATTTGCACAAAACTGCCCAAGGCGAAATCGAAAGATTAGCAGACGAACTTCCGTTCTCGCTTGTTCTTAATCTGTTTCAAAGAGTGCCTTTGAAACTAAGCGCAGGAGACATGTGGCTTAGTGACTATATACAGATAGAGTTGAAGCACCTCTTTGAGGACCCTACGACCCTTTTGGAGTATACTCCTCAGAACGAGCACGAGGTGCTATCATTCAGTGATATCATCCTAAGGGGTCTATCGGAGTTATTCACAAGCGACCTGGCAGCAGTCAAAAAGGGTCCTAGTCCGACTTTGGCAAAGTCGACTGTGCCACATGTATCGGAGGCAGAGCCATGCCAAATAGATTCTGATCCTGGCCCTAGCGTTGAGCTCGAGCCGGAGCCGGAGCCGGAGCCGGAGCCGGAGCCAGTACCAGTGCCAGAGGACGATATCTGGGGCTTACTGGTCCGAAGAACGCCATGAAGAAGAAGAAGGCGGCTACTTTCGCGTTCGAGCCGGAGCCCGAACCTCTTCCAGTACCAGATGACGAGCCTGGGACCCAGCCAGTACTAGTGCTTGAGCCCGAGCCCGAGCCCGAGCCTGAGCCAGTACCAGTGCCAGAGGACGATTTCTGGGGCTCACTGGTCTCGAAGAAGGCCATGAAGAAGAAGAAGAAGAATACTTTCGCGGTCGAGCCGGAGCCCGAACCTAGTCCAGTACCAGAGGACGAGCGTGGGACCCAGCCAGTACCAGTGCCAAAGGATGACAATTCGGGCTTATCCACGGCGAAAAGGGACCAGAGCAACAATACAGAAAATGGATGGTCTTTTGTCGCGAGTGACAATACGTGCTTCTTTCAAAGCGAGCATATCTTGGGAGATGGATGGAAGGAGTGTCGTAGCTGCCGAGGACGGGTGGGTGAATTGTCTCAAGAGTATGCAGGGACCGAATGAGACAAATGTTGGTTTTCTTTTTCTGTTTGTTTGCAGGGTCGTGTCTTCAGGTAGTGTGCTACCTTTTTGTTACAACCTGAATTGCTTACGATGGATCGTATTGATACTCGTCACATGTGTGGCATCTGCTATCCCTTGCTCATTTGACGCTATTCATTCCTTTTGCTTCATGTACATCTCTATATCCGAGAATTGCAGATCACCGTGGGCTCCTGAGAAAACAACACGTTGTTAGCGCTTCCTTCATATTTAGACTTGTACTGTATTATTCATTATCGGCGATCACTTCTGAAAATTTCCTTGCCTGGCGTAAAACGTCTTTTATCGACGCATAAAGCTCTGGGTTTAGCTTCTTTCACCTCTCACCATTTGGGAATATCTTCCTCCGCAGCCGATCAACCCGTGACACAACGTGAAGTTTTCCACTGCAATCTTCCGGAAATCTTCTTCATTGATAATTGTGAATGTTTAATATATGGACGTCCATCATAGAAGCAAATGCAAAGAATGCATCTAGCTCGGCCACCTACAGAATCGTCTCATAGGCTGAGTGTGAGCGGATTCTCTCCATTGTTGGTCGTTTATCTGCTATGAATCAGAGGCATCCAGCTCATCAATTCGGGTGAATTACACAACCTTATGTGAACGGCTAAATCCTACAGATGCGAACACGCGTATATGCACCTACCTCACATTGTTGAAAGGACATACTTAGTCATTACACGTAGCAAGAATGTCGCGAATGTTATGCGAACTTGGTTACAGTTAATAGATTTGCATCGGACGTTGTTACCTGACGTAGCATATCATACATCTGGTTCAATGTCTCCCAGCCCTGCGAGCCCCCACCTCGGCGCGAACAAGGCCGATGCGGTGCTGTCACAGTACCACAGATCGCATATGAAATGAAGTGTAGACTCGTCCATGCATGCTGATCTTTTCCATGCTGCCATGTAAAAATGCGCCGGTAGGTTGTTCTTCTCATCCTTTGTAAGTTGCTGATTGCAAAAGCACGGCGCTATTCTCGAGCGCCAGGACGTTACGACCTTGCAGGCAGGCCTTCCCCCACTATCACAGTTGTTACACCGTCCATTGAATCCTACCTGGAAGCTAAGTCTTCTGGGGGAACCTTTGATGTAGCTGAGGGACAGGTGGTCCTGGATGGCGCGCATGGGACTATTATTATGCATGCCTTGCAGAACCACCTTTTGGATAATCCTGTCTACGATGGCAATGCCTATGCTTTTACGGCAACCTTCCTCAGCGGATACCTCAATCTATATTCCCACCATGTTAAAGCCCCTGCTGAGCCTGGGCAGAGGCCTGGCTATCACATCACTCAGGAAACTCAGGATAGCCAGCAAACCAACGTGGAACTGGCCATTCTTCATCATGCATACGGCGAAGATGATGCGGACGACACCGAGGTAACAACAGGCTTTGCAACGAGCTTCGCCTCAAGCTTCACATCGGTCAGCCGCGAAGAGCAGCTACGTTCCCAGCGTCAGCCTAAGATGCCACGCAGTCCTCCCTCGCCATCATATACCCGGCAATTCAAGAGAGCAAGCTGACCGTGGCATCAGTCGTTCGTTTGCTAATAGCGCGTGACCGTCCAGACGAGCCGTATACAGTCACTCCAACGACACAGGGGGCACCTAAGGCACACTGCATACATTCATGGGGGACCACCCAGAGCGCGAGCACCTGGGGCACATTTGCATGCACAGGGCATCTATTGCACGTGAATCAACGGATTCCCCTTATCTGCTTCTAGGACTCGTGCCAGCTACCTCCACGTCGTCGTCTATAAAAGCCATCAAGCCCGCCTGATCTCGAGTCGTCCTCTCCTCGCAATTAGACCTACTCGGCCTTCACCTCACGACCGCTCATCACCCAGACCATTAATTGGTACACCACGTGGCATGGAGCGCACCACGAAATTCAAATGTCCAATTTGGATCGAGGAAGATTCTGCGACCGGATGGCAGTTGATCGCAAATGCTGTCTCGCGATCCAAGAGCATCATCGTCACCACGGGTGCTGGCATCAGCACAATAATGGCACGCAACCCCTCAGTTCTCATGTCATGACTGGGCACGGTTTTACCCTTGTCTCTGGCATGTCCGAAAAGCCGACCTCGATGCCATTTTTTGTCCTCTTCACCATACAGTCACCAGTTCTCATCGGACGAGTATTGTATTGATGATGCCACACCAGCACGGATGTTGGTGTGCCATTGGCCGGTAGTATCCATTGGCCGGAAGTATCCATCAGCCGGAAGTATCTATCAGCTGTGCGCCGAAGCCCGTATGGCGCAGTGGTTAAGTGCGCCTGGCAGTGCTCTCGTTGTTGCGGTGGGCGACGAGAGCAAGTGGGTTCGAATCCCGCTACGGTCCCCTTAACCCGGCTTGTGCCAGTCGTCAACAGTCACACGACGGTGAGATGGGCTCTATCGTAGAGCCCGATGACCAAAGAGTCTTCCTCACATATCCAATTCTGGCGGGTTTTTCCACCTCGGTGGTTTTTCCCCGCCGGCGGAAGCAACATCACCTGCTTTCACCTTCACCAATTCGACGGACATCGAACGGCTACTGGGGCGATGTTCAAACCGGAGGACTGCGGACTGATGGGTCGGATGCAATGGACGGGGATGTTTTCCGACGAAATCGAGGTTGGGTACTGACTAAAATTATCTGGCAGCGCCAGCATGATACCGCAATAGCGTGGATTGGCACGTGAACGGCTCTGACATGTATATACATACACTGACACCTCCACAACCCTGCGATGTATGGCTCTGGGAGGCGTGGTTTGCCCTAATAAGGGATGTTCCCCACGTTAGATACAATCAATCAATCAAACAATCAAGCTGTGCGCCGAGTATGAATTTGGTTCGCAGCCCAATTCTGGCACTGCGCCAAGAAGTTCTGTACGGCTTCCCTTTATTCCCTTGACTCATATTGCCACATTATTGTAGCGCTTCCGGATGGAATGAAAACACATTGAGGAGCAGGTGTGATCAAGGACCAGCACGAACAATTCTTGTCACAGACACAGAGACTTTACGAAGTGGGCATGGTGCAGCAAGCAGTCCTACGCAACAACGATACAAAATACGGTGTGTATAATCTTGGGATTGAGATCTCTGTATGAACAGACATGTCTTTTGTATTCACTAATTTGACTATCTATTGCGTCTCTGCATTGGCTCTGCTCAATCTCGACCGAAGATCTCAGTCAGGACGAACAGGTTCGTAGCCAGCACCACGTACAGGTTGCAGAGGCCGTCTTCGCTGGCCGGTACACAGGGATGGACATCTGCGACCCCCTCAGGAACCTAAGGAGATAGGACGGCCTGCGGGAAAGGAGTAATACATCAGCTGTAGGCTTGAAGCACTTCCAGATGGCATCATCTCTAGGCTCGAGGCACTTTTAGACGGCATCATCTCTAGGCTCGAGGCACTTGTAGACGGCATCAGCTGTAGGCTCGAGGCACTTCCAGGTGGCATCGTTTGTAGGCTCGAGGCAGGATCGATCGCCTCACTCAAAGTAGCCCGGCATGGCATGAGTCCTGTTTCTGAGCCTACTTTTCCCGTGCTGCACTCACGAGACCACTGTTCATCATTGAGACGCATAGACCAGTATCGTACACCCACAAAAGTTCAGTACATGATTGCCAGTGCTCGAAGGCCAGTCAGAACCTTGGCCAAGGATGCCGTAGAAGGTGAACTGCGATGACTGAAATTTGCAAAAGATGCGGAGTAGTTATCGAGACTGGCTGAAGTCTACTCATGGAGGTACACAAAAGCTACAAACGGATAATGTTTTGAGGCATATTAGCTACATTTTGGTGCAATAGCGGGCATACCGGAGGAGGGTCGAGGACACGATTGGGACAGGGACGAAATCGGACTACTCTGGCTGTCTCCACAGTTTGACGGGAACCTTGAGCCCTGTTTTTGTGCCTGGCCCCCCGGTTTGTCAGAGACACAACAGCGACGAGCCAGAAGCAGCTCAAAGATGACAATCCTGCAGCGAGTGACAAGAGCTGTATTGTGGCCCAAGATGTGTCGCAAGAACGAGCAATTTGGTCTATGACTAGATCTGCTGCGAATACTGTACATGAAGACCACTTCTTTTCCAACGAGGTTTATTCTGCAATGCTGGACCGCATTGCACAATCTCCGAGCATGCGCTTAATAGTTCGCGACCACTGTTTCTGGCTTGAATACGCAAAAAGCTGCTTTGGTGTCCAGATTCGAAGGTGCAAAAGAATTATGGTGGGTCCGGTTTCAATCATGTAGCCATGAATCATGAATGACAGTACATAGTGAGCGGGAACAGAATTCTTGGTTTCTAAAGCACTTTTGAAGCCCACAACAAAATCAAACACCATGAACCATGTAACAGGATGTAGCCTGGATATAGTACTTGTATCTTGTTCCAAGCTGATTGACTCGACTCCTCCTGAAGCATTGCCCGCTAGCATAGTCTTGAGTGCTTTATTGGCAACTTTAACTATGGCTGTTGTATGTAATAACATGCGGACTTGTGTCACCCTTCCTGTCCATTTTTGTGCTCTTCGACCTGTTACCATAATGTATCGCAAAGCGAATGGCTAATCTAGTAATTCAACCTCATCGTTGGTTCTATCCATATTTCCATTCGTATTTAAGCCGGCCAGTTTAACCCAGATCTTGGACATGCCAGTCCTAAGTTGTCTCTTATCCGCCTGATCCTTTCGCTGACCTCACTTCTAGATTTTTATAACCCTCAAATCTTTCTTTGGCAAAGATAGTACATAAGTCTACCGAAGAAAGTTTTCTAGATAACCTCTAGTATCAGCACCACCACCACCACCACCCTAAGACACGCATAATCAGTCATTCAAACTATCCAGAAAATAACAGTGCGGAAATATGGAAGGCAGTAGCGGTTATAATATTGCTTTGGGACGGAGATGCCATGCATGCAATCCTGGACCCTATTGGCTTTCGACTGCTACGATTCCGCACTATGATAATCAAAAACCCAGACTGCCTCCACAAAACACGGTCCTCATCGATTTGGGATTCGTTGAACTCCATCCCATTCGAGGGGCCGGCGATTTCGCCATCCATCAATACTACCAGAAGTTATCGGCTCGGCAGGATGAATTGCGTGCAATGAAGAACAGATCATTTCAGCCGGAACTACAGGATCACAAGTAGAACGATGATTCTCGGGAGCTCATAAAGGCTAGTGAAAGCACAGGGTATTCGGCGACACAAGTTCAGAACTGTATGGTTTTCTCATCGTTCCCAGTCGCAAGGCAGGCACACACAACTTTTACTACGGGATGAGTAACGAATGAATCGATGTAGAAGTTCGGTCCTGTTCATACCGGAAAAAAGTTAAATGCAAGGGGATAGGTTTCAGTCAATAACTCCTCGAGTTTGTTGGCCGCACATATACGAAAAAAAGAAAACAAAAAGAAAAAAAAGACCAGGGCAATACAATATTTGCAATTCCATAAATTAGAGCAGTCGTGTTGTAGTATGAAGTTGCAGTTTCGGATGGTCAGTTGTGTCTATGTTGGAGAAAATATCGAGGAACATGCCCCCCTAGCAATACAGTTTGGGCTAGTCATGATATAAGACGACTCTTTCGTGCTAGCTATGAGAGCATTTCATGCAGGTCCCATACTACTTCATGCCACGAGTGATACATAGATTCAACCGATCAAAATTGTAAATCGAAATAAATTTTAGCAGAAATGCTGTACACTAACCACTAACAGTATCATACAGGGATGTCATGAAAGAGAATGGATTGAGACGAAAACAGATTAGTCTGTGAGTATGGGCTCGAGTCGGAGTGAGGACGGAAACTTCGGAAATGATTTTGTAGTGTAGAGTTAGTTGCCCTCTAGGGGAATAGCCCGGGCGTAATAAACTTGTGTGTGTGTGTGTGTGTGTATATGACGCGACGACGGGACCAATGCGCTCCGCTTCTGTACTCACCTGGAGAACGACTTGTCCTGTGTTGTGTTGTATTGGTTTCGATTAGACCGTAGCGTGGTGGTTCGAGGACTAGCTGACGCGGGGTGCGGGATCCAAAATGGCGGACCGCGAAGAACCGCAGATCGTGGTGGGGTTGTCAAACTCTATCGCGACGACGGCCAAACGAGTGACACGAACAACGACGGCCATTGCAGCGGCAGCGAAACCTACTAGACGAACGACGGCTGGTAGCACGACAAACGTAAAAACCACGAGAGTCCATAAAGATGACGGTCAAGTTATTGCGGGGGACATCCCTAAGAAGGTGCTGGAAATGCTGGTGCTGTCTGCGCGACAAGTGAAGGAGTTGAAGGAAATGATTGTTCACCCGTCAGAAGTCATTGATGAGATCAACGAACAGCATGCGACGACGCAGCAGAGCCTAACGGAAGTCAAGTGTCAGATGGAGAATATCGTAGCAGAGTTGAAGACGGCACGGGAAGAACTGGAAGAAATCAAGGCTGGCCAGGCGCTGATCGCAAGCACACAAACGAGCCCACAGGCGTCCTATGCAGCCGTGGCACGAACACCACCGACAAGCCAACCCACGAATGTGCGCACTCTCAGCACAGCGAATACGACCCCGTCGAACTTCACCGATGCATTGTTTTGCACGATTGATACCACAAGAGTAAGCGAGGATGAAGCGAATGTATGGAACGCCGGAACGACGCGAGCTGCCGTGGAGAAAGAGATCCGATCAATCGAAGGCCACAAAGACTGGCGGTGCCGTGTTGTAACGATGGATCCGAAGAAGCCGCAAAGAATCAAGATTGTCTGCCGAGACGAAAGCGAACATGAACTCGTGAAAAGAACTGCTGAGAAAATCGTGACTAGCGGAGCAAGAGTACTTCGTGACGAACTATACCCGATCAAGGTCGATAGCGTTAACCGGACTGCCGCGCTGGACGAGAACGGAAACATCCGTCAAGGGGCGGCTGAAGCGTTTGGACAGGAGAACGAAACGACAGTAGCCAAGATCTCTTAGCTGAGCAAGAAAGAGGTGCCAAAGGCGTATGGGTCTATGGTGGTCTACCTGACCAAAGCAGCGGACGCCAGAAGGCTATTGGCAGAAGGCTTCTTCCATGCCGGAGGAGAATCGGGCTATACGAGAGTATTTGAGCGTCGAGAAGGACCATCGCAGTGTTACAACTGCCAGCAGGTTGGACACAAGGCATACCAGTGCAAGAATGCTGGAAAGTGTGGAAGATGCGCCAAGGAGGGCCACGCTCACAAGGAATGCACAGAAACCGTCCTTAGATGTGTGCCTTGTGGTGGTCCTCACGAGTCATTCAGCCGAAACTGTCCGAAACTCTACCCTGGACGCCATGACTAGGAAGTTCCAGGTGGTGCAA